AATGACATGGAAGTGGACACAATGACATGGAAGTGGGACACAATGACATGGAAGTGGGACACAATGACATGGAAGTGGGGACACAATGACATGGAAGTGGGACACAATGACATGGAAGTGGGACACAATGACATGGAAGTGGGACACAATGACATGGAAGTGGGACACAATGACATGGAAGTGGGACACAATGACATGGAAGTGGGACACAATGACATGGAAGTGGGACACAATGACATGGAAGTGGGACACAATGACATGGAAGTGGGACACAATGACATGGAAGTGGGACACAATGACATGGGAGTGGGACACAATGGAAGACATAGAAGTAGGGACACAATGACATGGAAGTGGGACACAATGACATGGACAGACATGGGACACAATGACATAGAAGTGGGACACAATGACATGGAAGTGGGACACAATGACATGGGACTAGGACACAATGAAATGGAAGATGGACACAATGACATGGAAGTGGGAGACAATTACATGGAAGTGGGACATAACGACATGGAATTCGGACACAATGACGTGGAAGTGGGACACAATGACATCAAAGTGGGAGACAATGACATGGAAGTAGGACACAATGACATAGAAGTGGGACACAATGATATGGGACTAGGACACAATGACATGGAAGTGGGACACAATGACATGGAAGTGGGACACAATGACATGGAAGTGGGTCACAATGACATGGAAGTGGGACACAATGACATGGAAGTGAGACACAATGACATGGAAGTGGGACACAATGACATGGAAGTGGGACACAATGACATATGAAGTGGACACAATGACATGGAAGTGGGACACAATGACATGGAAGTGGGACACAATGACATGGAAGTGGGTCACAATGACATGGAAGTGGGACACAATGACATGGAAGTGGGACACAATGACATGGAAGTGGGACACAATGACATGGAAGTGGGACACAATGACATGGGACTAGGACACAATGACATGGAAGTGGGACACAATGACATGGAAGTGGGAGACAATGACATGGAAGTGGGACACAATGACATGGAATTGGGACACAATGACATGGAAGTGGGACACAATGACATGGAAGTGGGACACAATGACATGGAAGTGGGAGACAATGACATGGGACTAGGACACAATGACATAGAAGTGGGACACAATGATATGGGACTAGGACACAATGACATGGAAGTGGGACACAATGACATGAAAGTGGGACACAATGACATGGAAGTGGGACACAATGACATGGAAGTGGGACACAATGACATGGAAGTGGGACACAATGACATGGAAGTGGGACACAATGACATGGAAGTGGGACACAATGACATGAAAGTGGGACACAATGACATGGAAGTGGGACACAATGACATGGAAGTTTGACACAATGACACGAAGTGGGTCACAATGACATGGAAGTAGGACACAATGACATGGAAGTAGGACACAATGACATGGAAGTGGGACAGAATGACATGTACGTGGTACACAATTACATGGGACTAGGACACAATGACATAGAAGTGGGACACAATGACATGGAAGTGGGACACAATGACATGGAAGTGGGACACAATGACATGGAAGTGGGAGACAATGACATGGAAGTGGGAGACAATTACATGGAAGTAGGACACAATGACATGGAAGCGGGACATAATGACATGGAAGTAGGACACAATTACATGGAATTGGGAGACAATGACATGAATTAGGACACAATGAAATGGAAGATGGACACAATGACATGGAAGTAGGAGACAATGACTTGGAAGATAGACACAATGACTTGAAAGCGGGACACAATGACATGAAAGTGGGGCACAATGACATAGATGTGGGACACAATGACATAGATGTGGGACACAATTACATGGAATTGGGACACAATTACATAGAAGTGAGACACAATGACATGGAAGTAGGACACAATGACATGGAGTATGGACACAATCACATGGAAGATGGACACAATGACATGGAAGTAGGACACAATAGCATGGACTTGTTACACAATGGCATGGAAGTGGGACACGCACGTGAACAGATGTTCTCAGGTGAAATTGTACAGAATCGTTGTTTTTCCGTTATTTAACTTTCAAATTATTCTACAAAATCTGTTCAAGTATTAAACCCGTAGTGTAAAACTGATAGAACTCCATGCTCGCGGGTTGTTTTGTATGGTATCTGTCGAGCTCACGAAAGGCTCGGTAAATACCGATTAACTAACAATTGGTACACCCATGATGAGTCCTGTCTATACATCAGCACAACATGGCGATCATCCTGACTCACTAGGTCTGTCTAGCGTGGTCCAGTCAGGAAACTGTAAAAACAAAACATCAATGTAACAAATAAATCTGCCCTGACTCATCTGTTCCCATTGCCTGGGGTCTCGTAACAGTTCATTGCCTGCTGTCAGCCCGCAGTCAGCCAGTCCCTAATGAACTAACACGAAGGCTGGCCAGCCTCCTGTATTTATAGCTGAACACGGGAGTGTTTCATAATAAACTACACACAGATTGCTCTGCTCGCTTGGAAGCAACCAGGGATTTATTGCTTAAAACTTTGCATTGATTTGCTAACCGCCATAGGTATGTTTTAAATACTGAAACAGAATGTGCTGAACCAGAACGAACAATAACGGCTATTGTGGTTGTCATTATGCTCTGTATAACCCTGGCAAGGTTGTTTGTTGATAAACATAACATTTTGTTACTCAACCGACACGAGTGCACGACGGGTATATAGAAAACGAGTTTTGTTTTATGTATGCTCTACTACAATGGTATGGTCATAAACAGTGTATATTCAAATGTTGACATTATACGCGTCGGAAATTTATGATCATTGTACCTGATACTTAAGCCACACAGCTTCACCAACAATCAGCTCACACCGTCTACACACAGCTTCACCAACAATCAGGACACACCGTCTACACACGGCTTCACCAACAATCAGCTAACACCGTCTACACACAGCTTCACCAACAATCAACTCACACCTTCTACACACAGCTTCACCAACAATCAGCTCACACCATCTACACACAGCTTCACCAACAATCAGCACACACCGTCTACACACAGGTTCACCAACAATCAGCTAACACCGTATACACAGCTCCACCAACAATCAGCTCACACCGTCTACACACAGCTTCACAAACAATCAGCACACACCTTCTACACACAGCTTCACCAACAATCAGCACACACCTTCTACACACAGCTTCACTAACAATCAGCATACACCTTCTACACACAGCTTCACCAACAATCAGCTCACACCGTCTACACACAGCTTCACCAACAATCAGCATACACCGTCTACACACAGCTTCACCAACAATCAGGACACACCGTCTACAGACAGCTTCACCAACAATCAGGACACACTGTCTACACACACCTTCACGTACAATCAGCTCAAACCGTCTACACACAGCTTCACCAACAATCAGCTCAAACCGTCTACACACAGCTTCACCAACAATCAGCATACACTGTCTATACACAGCTTCACGAACAATCAGGACACACCGTCTACACACAGCTTCACCAACAATCAGCATACACCGTCTACACACAGCTTCACCAGCAATCAGCATACACCGTCTACACACAGCTTCACCAACAATCAGCATACACCGTCTATACACAGCTTCACCAACAATCAGGACACACCGTCTACACGCAGCTTCACCAACAATCAGCATACACCGTCTACACTCAGTTTCACGAACAATCAGGACACACCGTCTACACACAGCTTCACCAACAATCAGCATACACCGTCTACACTCAGCTTCACGAACAATCAGGACACACCGTATTCAGGAGGCAGTATTCAGTATGTCTATGTTGTTATCCCAGTGTTCAGGTGGCAGTATTCAGCATATCGATGTTGTTATCCGAGTATTCAGGTGGCAGTATTCAGCATATCGATGTTGTTATCCGAGTATTCAGGTGGCAGTATTCAGCATATCGATGTTGTTATCCGAGTATTCAGGTGGCAGTATTCAGCATATCGATGTTGTTATCCGAGTATTCAGGTGGCAGTATTCAGCAAATCGATGTTGTTATCTGAGTGTTCAGGTAGCAGTATTCAGCATATCGATGTTGTTATCCCAGTGTTCAGGTGGCAGTAATCAGCATATCGATGTTGTTATCCGAGTATTCAGGTGGCAGTATTCAGCATATCGATGTTGTTATCCGAGTATTCAGGTGGCAGTATTCAGCATATCGATGTTGTTATCCGAGTATTCAGGTGGCAGTATTCAGCAAATCGATGCAAATCGATGTTGTTATCCCAGTGTTCAGGGTGGCAGTATTCAGCATATCGATGTTGTTATCCGAGTGTTCAGGTGGCAGTAATCAGCATATCGATGTTGTTATCCGAGTATTCAGGTGGCAGTATTCAGCATATCGATGTTGTTATCCGAGTATTCAGGTGGCAGTATTCAGCATATCGATGTTGTTATCCGAGTGTTCAGGTAGCAGTATTCAGCATATCGATGTTGTTATCCCGGTGTTCAGGTGGCAGTATTCAGCATATCGATGTTGTTATCCGAGTGTTCAGGTGGCAGTATTCAGCATATCGATGTTGTTATCCCAGTGTTCAGGTGGCAGTATTCAGCATATCGATGTTATTATCTGAGTATTGAGGTGGCAGTATTCAACATGTCTCAGTATGAAATACCAACAGTATTGCCATGTTTTGAATACCAACAAGTGGATGTGATGACAGCAATATTTTTAGGATGTGATGAGTATCTACATTTTCAGGATGCGACGAATATCACTTTTGAGTTAGCGTGATCATTTAGAACTATGGAACATTCCAGGATGTCAATGGCCGCTGGTGTTGCTGTAACGTGCATTTCGTCGTTTACTATGTGGTTTCTGCAGCACGGACGTTGTGGGGGTTTGTCACTCACTCACTCACTCCAGAAAACTGACTACAGTATTGTCAACAAGAACGATGTTCTTGTGAAACTAGCATTTATTCATAAAACGAAAATAATATAATTTTCACGAACACTTCTAACCACATAAACGTGTTCCACAATGCTGTACTCTCTTGTGTTTGTGAGTTGTTGACAACACTGTCAGGTATATAAACGTGTTCCACAATACTTTACTCTCTTGTGTTTGTGAGTTGTTGACAACACTGTCAGGTATATAAACGTGTTCCACAATGTTGTACTCTCTTGTGTTTGTGAGTTGTTGACAACACTGTCAGGTATATAAACGTGTTCCACAATGTTGTACTCTCTTGTGTTTGTGAGTTGTTGACAACACTGTCAGGTATATAAACGTGTTCCACAATGTTGTACTCTCTTGTGTTTGTGAGTTGTTGACAACACTGTCAGGTATATAAACGTGTTCCACAATGTTGTACTCTCTTGTGTTTGTGAGTTGTTGACAACACTGTCAGGTATATAAACGTGTTCCACAATACTTTACTCTCTTGTGTTTGTGAGTTGTTGACAACACTGTCAGGTATATAAACGTGTTCCACAATACTTTACTCTCTTGTGTTTGTGAGTTGTTGACAACACTGTCAGGTATATAAACGTGTTCCACAATACTGTACTCTCTTGTGTTTGTGAGTTGTTGACAACACTGTCAGGTATATAAACGTGTTCCACAATACTTTACTCTCTTGTGTTTGTGAGTTGTTGACAACACTGTCAGGTATATAAACGTGTTCCACAATACTGTACTCTCTTGTGTTTGTGACTATAGCAAATGTCCGCCAGTGCTCCTGTATGTTCCCTCTTAAACAACTGGTCCCATTCATGTAAACATCACATAGAGCATGCTAAACAACTGGTCCCCTTCATGTAAACATCACATAGAGCATGTTAAACAACTGGTCCCCTTCATGTAAACATCACATAGAGCATGTTAAACAACTGGTCCCCTCCATGTAAACATCACATAGAGCATGTTAAACAACTGGTCCCCTTCATGTAAACATCACATAGAGCATGTTAAACAACTGGTCCCCTTCATGTAAACATCACATAGAGCATGTTAAACAACTGGTCCCCTCCATGTAAACATCACATAGAGCATGTTAAACAACTGGTCCCCTTCATGTAAACATCACATAGAGCATGTTAAACAACTGGTCCCCTCCATGTAAACATCAGATAGAACATGTTAAGCAAATGGTCCCTGTCATGTAACCATCAGATAGAACATGTTAAACAACTGGTTCACGTGATGTGAACACAACATAGAATTGTTAAAACAACTGGTCCCCGTCATGCGAACACCACATCAATGTTCTTCAACACACATCTTCAGTAGTTCAGCCAGCTTGTCAGTGACCTCAATGTTCTTCAACACACATCTTCAGTAGTTCAGCCAGCTTGTCAGTGACCTCAATGTTCTTCAACACACATCTTCAGTAGTTCAGCCAGCTTGTCAGTGACCTCAATGTTCTTCAACACACATCTTCAGTAGTTCAGCCAGCTTGTCAGTGACCTCAATGTTCTTCAACACACATCTTCAGTAGTTCAGCCAGCTTGTCAGTGACCTCAATGTTCTTCAACACACATCTTCAGTAGTTCAGCCAGCTTGTCAGTGACCTCAATGTTCTTCAACACACATCTTCAGTAGTTCAGCCAGCTTGTCAGTGACCTCAATGTCGGCCCCTGATACGAGCGTGACCTCAATGTCCGACTCTTCCGGTGTGTCCACGTAGAACACCATCCACAGAGGGGTCGAGGTGTCCATGCCGTCCACGCTCACCAGCGTCTTCCTCGCAGGCAGGTCGAGCACGTGCAACTGCTTCTTGGTGCCGTCAAGGAGGAAGCCAAGGTCAAGGATAAGCTCCACTTCTGGTTGATTCAAGCCAATTGGAATGTCAGCTTTAAGCTCTCCGTCTTTTCGTAACTTGAGACATAACTGGCTGTGAACATGACAGTCGCTAAGGTTCAAGCTGAAGCCACAGGGCTGTGCAAACCCAGCATCCACAGGCCTCGGCGTTACTGCAGCTTCAAATATCATACTGTTGTCAGCGGACGCTGTCTTGATCTTTGCTCTGACTGTTGTCTGCCAGAGCTGAAGACCGTCTCCTCCCAGCGTGGGGCACACTAGGGCTCGTCGGCCCACCTTTAGCCTACATCCCGTATCCGACCCTGATGTTGGCTTCTGGAGCTTCCGGTTGACAAAAACTCCCTCTGGTGTAGTAGAGCAATCACGTGATAAACATATTGCATCAAACCGAAGCCGAGGACCTGGAAGAGACACAAGGTGATGTCAAGGTGAACAGCTTACAACAAAGGAAGACAGCAATCAGTAACATCATATCTGTTACAACATATCAAGATATGTTATAGCCCTGAGGTATATCATTATTATTATTATTATTGGTGCTCCACTTACAGTGTATTGCTGCTGGCCTTGTGTCGATTTTCACGTCGTCAAGGACGATAACTCTGTCACCAAGGAGGCCTGAAAAACATGTGACGTTAACATATGTTATATTTGGGATTACACTTTCTTAGTACAGTATTTTTCTAGTATTTTTTTTAGTTGAGCCCCATCCGAGATTCGAACTCACACCCTCAGAGTCAGCCGCCTAACCCGCTCAGCTACCGCGACTTCCACAAAAATGGAAGTTGGACAACTGGTAGTCAAGACTGCGGGCTTTGTGTGCCCCTCTGATAAGTGTTAATTGGCACGGCTCCCACGGCCGAGAGCTATGATTACACAATACCATTTAGAAAGCGGCTTAGGCGGCTGACTTTGTGTGCTGGCGATTAGGTGCCTGACTCTGAGGGTGTGAGTTCGAATCCTGGATGGGACTCAACTAAAAACAGTACTAGAGTTTGTACTTTTCTAAGAAAGCGTAATCCCAATTATAACATATGTTACATTTGACCACTTTCTAAATAGCATTGTGTAATCATAGCTTTCGACCGTGGGAGCTGTAGTATTCTCAATGACTTGTACAGCCTATATTATCTCTGTGATTACTTTATGTGTATCACGTGACTTGTGTACTATGTTAGAATAAAGCAGGTGATTGGAATTACTCGCATGTCGATCGTGTTGTCCCTTGTGTGTGTTGACGAAGAGAGCCCATGAAAATACTACAGGAGCCGTGCCAATTAACACATATTAGAGGGGCACACAAAACCCGCAGTCTAGACTACCAGTTGTCCGACTTCCATTTTTGTGGAAGTCGCGGTGGCTCAGCGGGTAAGGCGGCTGACTTTGTGTGCTGGCGATTAGGGTGTGAGTTCGAATCCCGGATGGGGCTCAACTAAAAAAGTACTAGAATTTGTACTTTACTAAGAAAGTGTAATCCCAAATGTAACATATGTTACATTTGACCACTTTCTAAATAGCATTGTGTAATCATGTGACGTTAAACTGGCTTATATCACAGAGCGAGCTCGACGTCAGTTAGCTGTGTGACAGAGCGTCCGTCACACATCGTCACATCACTCCGCTCACACATATAACGTCGCATCACACCAAAGGAGTTAAGTGTTCTTATTTCAAGTACACGGTTTTGGGCCGGTGCATGTCTTCGGTTTACCCTACAGATCACTTGATGACCCCGACACTGTCTGAAACATACGGTTACCTTGTTACCTAAAGAATTACCTGATGCATGAACAACGCTTTAATGCCCCACTGCAACACACAGTTCCGTTGACCTTACTGGGTTATCGGGTGCACATCACTTGACGAGCCTGTACAAACTCGGCACACAGCGAGACATCAACAGGATACGTGAACTTGCGTAACAATGTCGGTTAGTATCCTGTATTTGGTCTGGTTCACGTCAACAGGATACGTCAAGATACGTCACTATGTTAGTGGCTGTGTCCAATATGTTCAACTTAACATCAACAAGATGCGTCAAGATACGTCACTATGTTAGTGGCTGTGTCCAATATGTTCAGCTTAACATCAACAAGATACGTCAAGATACGTCACTACGTTAGTGACTGTGTCCAAAATGTTCAGCTTAACATCAACAAGATACGTCAAGATACGTCACAGTGCTACTTGGTGTATCCAAAATGTTCAGCTTCACATCAACAACAAGATACGTCACAGTGTTAGTTGACGTATCCGATTTGTTCAGCTTCACATCAACAAGATACGTCAAGATACGTCACAGTGCTACTTGGTGTATCCAAAATGTTCAGCTTCACATCAACAACAAGATACGTCACAGTGTTAGTTGACGTATCCAATATGTTCAGCTTCACATCAACAACATACGTCTAGATACGTCACAGTGTTTGTTGACGCATCCAATATGTTCAGCTTCAGCGGTGTGCGCAGTGTGCAGTGTAGAGAGGGTTTGTAGGTTTGTTGGGCAAGTGTGGGGTCGAGGGTGGTGGGGCAAGTGTAGGGGTGGTACATGCTGACCCTCAATGATGAACATGAACCCAAGCCTCCCATTACAGATACACTGAGTGACAGTGGTAGTAAGTGGTAGTAAGTGGTAGAGTGAGTGAGTGACCCCATATTGCAATGTTCCGCTGTTTCAACATGACACAGCAGATAGGGTGCAGCCAGCTGATAGAGACGGGATGTTCCGCCGTTTTAACGCGACACGACCGATAGGGTGAAGCCAAATGATTGAGACTGGTCGTTCCGCTGTTTTAACGTGACACAGCCGATAGGGTGCAGCCAGCTGATAGAGACGGGAAGTTCCGCTGTTTTAACGTGACACAGCCGATAGGGTGCAGCCAGCTGATAGAGACGGGATGTTCCGCTGTTTTAACGTGACACAGCCGATAGGGTGCAGCCAGGTGATTGGGACGGGATGTTCCGCTGTTTTAACGTGACACGACCGATAGGATGCATCCAAATGATTGGGACTGGATGTTCCGCTTTTTTGTACGCGACACAGCCGATAGGGTGCAGCCAGGTGATTGGGACGGGATGTTCCGCTGTTTTAACGCGACACGACCGATAGGGTGCAGCCAGCTGATAGAGACGGGATGTTCCGCCGTTTTAACGTGACACGGCCGATAGGGTGCAGCCAGCTGATAGAGACGGGATGTTCCGCTGTTATAACGGCCGATAGGGTGCAGCCAGCTGATAGAGACGGGATGTTCAGCTGTTATAACGGCCGATAGGGTGCAGCCAGCTGATAGAGACGGGATGTTCCGCTGTTTTAACGCGACACGACCGATAGGGTGCAGCCAGCTGATAGAGACGGGATGTTCCGCTGTTATAACGGCCGATAGGGTGCAGCCAGCTGATAGAGACGGGATGTTCCAGCTGTTTTATAACGGCCGATAGGGTGCAGCCAGCTGATAGAGACGGGATGTTCCGCTGTTATAACGGCCGATAGGGTGCAGCCAGCTGATAGAGACGGGATGTTCAGCTGTTATAACGGCCGATAGGGTGCAGCCAGCTGATAGAGACGGGATGTTCCGCTGTTATAACGCGACACAGGCGATAGGGTGCAGCCAGCTGATAGAGACGGGATGTTCCGCTGTTTTAACGTGACACGGCCGATAGGGTGCAGCCAGCTGATAGAGACGGGATGTTCCGCTGTTTTAACGGCCGATAGGGTGCAGCCAGCTGATAGAGACGGGATGTTCCGCTGTTTTAACGCGACACGACCGATAGGGTGCAGCCAGCTGATAGAGACGGGATGTTCCGCTGTTATAACGGCCGATAGGGTGCAGCCAGCTGATAGAGACGGGATGTTCCGCTATTTTAACGCGACACGACCGATAGGGTGCAGCCAGCTGATAGAGACGGGATGTTCCGCTGTTTTAACGCGACACGACCGATAGGGTGCAGCCAGGTGATAGAGACGGGATGTCCCGCTGTTTTAACATGACACGACCGATAGGGTGCAGCCAGGTGATTGGGACGGGATGTTCCGCTGTTATAACGCGACACAGCAGATAGGGTGCAGCCATCTGATAGAGACGGGAAGTTCCGCTGTTTTAACGCGACACAGCCGATAGGGTGCAGCCAGCTGATAGAGACGGGAAGTTCCGCTGTTATAACGCGACACGACCGATAGGGTGCAGCCAGCTGATAGAGACGGGATGTTCCGCTGTTTTAACGCGACACACTCGATAGGGTGCAGCCAGGTGATAGAGGCGGGATGTTCCGCTGTTTTAACGCGACACAGCCGATAGGGTGCAGCCAAATGATTGGGACGGGATGTTCCGCTGTTTTAAAGCGACACGACCCATACATGGGATGTTCCATAGGGTGCAGCCAAATGATTGAGACGGGATGTTCCGCCGTTTTAACGTGACACAGCCTAAAGGGTGCAGCCAAATGATTGAGATGGGATGTTCCGCTGTTTTAACGTGACACAGCCGATAGGGTGCAGCCAAAGGGTTGATACGGGGTGTGACCTTTTCTAACTCAGACCCTCACAGAAATAACGTCAGCTCGGAACACGACTTGTGATGGACATGCAGCGTTCAGCGCACAGCAGTAGTTAGTAGTCAGTAGTCAGTAGTCAGTAGGCAGTAGGCAGTAGGCAGTAGGGAAAGTCATGCTACTTACTGTTCACGTGGACGGGCTGTCTCTCGTCACCCAGGTGGCCGAACACAGTCACGTGACTCTGAAGATTCTTGGCTGGAAGAGAAAGGCATATCAGATAACATGGCGACTTTGGGACATCCTATTCCCTTTATATCGTATCCTTGCATTCTTCTGTAAGTACTGATTCATGTGGACCCAGATATACACTGACGGAAAAGATAACTGCTTCATGTCAAGTTCAGTAAAATGTAGGCATTGTGAGGCGTTCTAGAGGGAGGGCAGGATGCAGGACACCCTGGCTCGAGAAGATGGTGGATGTACGGAGCACGGTGTAAGTGTTGTTTCAGCGTGATACTCCCACGCGTGTGTTTCTCAGTGTGAACCCCACAGTTATGTTGCAGGCATTAGGTGCTCATAACAACATTGTGTGAGACGGAGAAAAGCGATTACGCAATGTACGGACTGTTGAAAATCCACGTGGAAACAGTTATGGCGCCATACCAAATTTTAAGGTTCACATAGACACAGTATCATCTGTTTGTGGACGTTACTTGAGAAGGGCTGCTCTCCACGTGTGACGTCACGTGAACAAGATGGTTGGTGAATCATTGGACTATACGAAATTGGCACATTTTAACAACCTTGACAATCAACTGCTTCACACCAGTCAGTGGTAGAACCGTATGACAATCAATTGCTTCACACCAGTCAGTGGTGGAACCGTATGACAATCAATTGCTTCACACCAGTCAGTGGTAGAACCGTATGACAATCAACTGCTTCACACCAGTCAGTGGTAGAACCGTATGACAATCAATTGCTTCACACCAGTCAGTGGTAGAACCGTATGCAGAGGGTTGAGGAGATCAACTCCGACGTCCAATAATATTGTTCTTCCCACGTCACCGTCAGGCACACCTGACTTGGTGTGGACAGCATTTGTGGTTCATTGGGCGTCTTCGACAGCTCTGATGGTCGTGCAAAGTTCTACAGGCGTCAAGGAGAATGTTTACACACAGTGATCAAGTGGTCTTGGAAGAGTCACGTGACTTGAACACAAGGTGAAGACCCCATGTTGAAGTTCGTGCGACATCGTGCAGGGTAAGTCCCGGAGCAGACATTCACCCCCACAGACCAAGTCTGTAATGAGATGAAACGATGCTGGACCAGACCCAGCTCGTAACGTTATGTCATATGGGTTGGTTGGTTGGTTGGTTGGTTGGTTGGTTGGTGGGTGGGTTAATGCCGCTACTAGTATCTGAAAATATTCGATTCTGCAATTTAGAAATGTGGGTTCTTTTTTTTTATTATCGAGTTTCTTTAATTCGTAGTTGCAGCCCGCCTGTATCAACGCAAATGGTGGTTACACTCAACACTGTAGTCGTTCACCCTTCACTTATGGCTTGTGGATCTGTCTCTGTTATAGTTCATGACAACACATTGATCAGACGAATGACAAAACAGATTTGTTATTCCAAACCATAACATTTAAACGATTGTATAAAGAGCACAGGTAGTTTCTTTCTGTACACAGGAAACTGTGCTGTAATTGTAAGTGTGTACAGAAAACTGAATGGGTAAGTAAACTATTTATACTTACTACATGTACCTGCACATGACGACGGGCCACGTTCATATAATAGCTTCTATGTAACAATGAAGATTGTTCTCGCCAAGAGGGTATGGCGATTGTTCTCGCCAAGGGGGCATGGCGATTGTTCTCGCCAAGGGGGCATGGCGATTGTTCTCGCCAAGGGGACATGGCGATTGTTCTCGCCAATCGAACATGAAACAAGTTGACATGAAGATCAGTGCATGGTGTATTTCGTTGCAGTCGTATCATGTTCGGTGAACTACGACCTGATGTACTCGATAAAGTCGACTGGTCGATGCTAACCAGGGACTGACGTGATGAACCCTGGGTCACTGGGTAGTCAACCCAGTCACGGTTCCTACCTCCGATCTATTATGTCACCTCGCCGGCCGTTCTGTATTATCTATATCATCACAACATACCATCAACCTTGACTACCACCACACAGTATTCATCACTACTCGCGATCACCTTCAGCCTGGGGTAGCCTAGTGGTTACAACGTTCGCTCGTCACTTCGAAAACCCGGGTTCGATCCCCCACGTGGATACAATGTTCGAAGCCCCTTCTGATATTGCTGGAATATTGCTGAAAGTGGCGTAAAACCAAACTCACTCACTCACTCTCTTTCAGCATCACCTCAACAACAAAAGATATCGGGCTGTTGAATATTACTGATCCATTACAACATCCTAACAGAAAATATACAAAAAAAACTCTCAAATGTGAACACGTTTTGTACTCAATTACAAAGTTTCACTTCGCGACATCTGTCTACGACAAGCAACGATTCAAATTTACCTTCTCGATGGGCGGCGGGTTGAACATACAGAGTCTGGGCCTCCGAGTTGAGCTGGTCTTTCATGAAGGTGACTGTCTTTATCTCCCCTGTGTTCTGAATGAGCTTGTCCACATCACGTGCAAAGGCCGGGTCGAATCCCAAACCCTTTCTCTCCCAGTCATCTGCTTCCGGCTCCTCGTCAATGATCCCATCCAGAACTCGCTTCACCTGGGAAAACAACTGAAGCGACTCAATCTCGTCCGCCTTGGAACGCACGTGCCTGATGTACTCGGCGGCTGACGCAACACGTGATATCAGTGACTTTGTTTCGTCTAGACGTCTGTCAATGGCTGTACTGTGAACCTCATGTCTCGTGTCTGTCTCAGTCATCAACATGGCCTTTCTCTGCTTTAAACTCTCAACAAGAGCATCAAATGTAGATGCAACCTGTCTCTTCGCAGCCGTCTTGGAAGTGTTGAGAATCTTCTTCTTTTTGGTCATGGTCTCGACGTCAGCGCCTAGTGACTTAATTCTCTCATCCAGCGAGGTCAGCACGGAGTCTGCCTGGGACGCCCTCTCGTGGCAGATGTCGTCCAGGGACACGATGGTGTGACCATTGACTTCCTTGTGCTCCACCACAGTGCACGACACACAGATGGCCTTGTCACACTTCCGGCAGTAGAACTGAAGGGGGTGGAGCTTGTGTTGCCCACAGTGATGGCTGGTGCCGAAAGTCAGGATTGACTGGTTCCTTAGTTCCTGGAAACTGACGGTAGTGTGATCACGTGTCACCCCGTTCCTTCTATGGGCACTAAGACAATCCTCACACAGGAACAAACCACAGTCCTTGCAGCGAGCCACAGCTTGGTTGTCATCAGGACAGCCGGTGCAGGGGAACTTGTGGCCCTTCTGAACCTTGACGTAATCCACCATCTTCAGCATGACGCGTTCAAGGGGGAAACTCTCCACCCCCTCTGTCACAGAATGGCTGGTCCTGCATAAGGGGCAGTCGATGCAGTTGCTGCCTCCACGGGAGATGATGTCGGTGATGCAGGTGGAACAGACGGAGGAGACGCAGCACGACATCAGTCTCGGAGTCCGATCATCGCTGTCAAACACGTAGGAGCAGACAGGACACTCCATAACTGCCTCCTGCATGTCCCCGACCTTCAGATACTCCGCCATGACAGGCCTGAAACACGGAGGGAGAAGTGGAGTGAGAGGCGACGTCATAGGGAGAAGGTGAGATGATGACGTCACAGGGAGAAGGTGGGAGGGCGACGTCACAGGAGGAAGGTGAGTGAGAGGCGACGTCACAGGGAGAAGGTGAGTCAGATGGTGACGTCACAGGGAGAAGGTGAGTGAGGGGCGACGTCACAGGGATAAAGTGAGAGGGGCAACGTACAGGAAGAAGGTGAGAGGGTGACGTCACAGGGAGAAGGTGAGAGGGCGACGTCACAGGGAGAAGGTGAGTTAGAGGTGACGTAATGGTGAGAAGGTGAATGACACGTCACAGGGAGAAGGTGAGAGGTGAGTCACAGGGATAAGGTGACGTCACAGGGGTGATAAACAGGTGAGGTGAGGGGCACACGTCACAGGAGAAGGTGAATGAGGGTGACGTCACAGGGAGAAGGTGAGTGAGAGGTGACGACAGGGAGAAGGTGAGAGTGGCAGGGAAGAAGAAAGGTGAGAGGGGTGACGTCACAGGGAGAAGGTGAGTCACAGGGAGAGAAGGTGAGTGAGGGGCGACGTCACAGGGAGAGAGGTGAAAGGTGAGGGGCGACGTCACACAGGAGAAAGGTGAGTGAGAGGGTGACGTCACAGGGATAAGAAGGTGAGGAGGAGGGGTGACGTCATAGGAGAGACAGGGTGAGACAGGTGAGAGGTGAGAGGCAGGTGACGTCACAGGAGGAAGGTGAATGAGGGGTGACGTCACAGGGAGAAGGTGAGTGAGGGGTGACGTCACAGGGAGAAGGTGAGTGAGAGGTGACGTCACAGGGAGAAGGTGAGAGTGGCAACGTACAGGAAGAAGGTGAGAGGGGTGACGTCACAGGGAGAAGGTGAATGAGGGGTGAGTCACAGGGAGAAAGTGGTCACAGGGAGAAGGTGAGTGAGGGGCGACGTCACAGGGAGAAGGTGAGTGAGAGGCGACGTCAGGGAGAAGGTGAGAGAATGACGTCACAGGGAAGGTGAGTGAGGGGCGACGTCACAGGGAGAACGAGTCACAGGGATAAGGTGAGATGGGCAACATTACAGGAAGAAGGTGAGAGGGGTGACGTCACAGGGAGAAAGGTGAATGAGGGGTGACGTCACAGGGAGAAGAGTGGGTCACGTCCCAGGGAGAAGCGGTGAATGAGGGACGTCACAGGGAAAGGTAAGTCAGATGGTGACGTCACAGGGATAAGGTGAGAGGGGCAACGTACAGGAAGAAGGTGAGAGGGGTGACGTCACAGGGAGAAGGTGAATGAGGGGTGACGTCACAGGGAGGTGAGTGAGAGGTGACGTCACAGGGAGAAGGTGAGTGAGGGACGTCATAGGGAGAAGGTGAAGAGAATGACGTCACAGGGGAGAAGGTGGGAGGGCGACGTCACAGGAGGAAGGTGAGTGGGGGCGACGTCACATGAGTCAGATGGTGACGTCACAGGATAAGGTGAGAGGGGCAACGTACAGAAAGAAGGTGAAATACGTCACAGGTGAGAAGGTGAGAGGGGCGACGTCACAGGGTTTGATGAGGGGTGACGTCACAGGGAGAAGGTGAGTGAGAGGTGACGTCACAGGGAGAAGGTGATAACAAGGTGGGGTGACGTCACAGGGAGAAGGTGAGTGAGAGGCGACGTCATGGGAGAAGGTGAGAGAATGACGTCACAGGAGAAGGTGGGAGGGCGACGTCTGGAGGAAGGTGAGTGAGGGGCGATTAACAGGGAGAAGATGAGTCAGATGATATTGATAGGGAGAAAGTGAATGAGGGTCTGACGTCAGGGGAGAAGGATAGTCAGATGGTGACGTCATTAAGGTCGTGGTGAGTTAGAGGTGACGTCACAGGAAGAGCGTGAGTGCAAGAAGTGCCGTGATGGAATAACGTCAGCGATGGATAAATTGATGGTATTAGGTGTGTGGTGGAGTGATATAGTGATAAAAGTGGCAATTAAGTTGAGTCGAGTTGGGTTTTACGTCACATCGGCATTATTCCAGCCATAAAGTGACGAGTAACACTGGTCATTAAGTGTCTGATGGAGTGATATATTGATAACACTGGTCATTAAGTGTCTGATGGAGTGATACCTTGATAACACTGGTCATTAAGTGTCTGATGGAGTGATATATTGATAACACGGTAATTAAGTGTCTGATGGAGTGATATATTGATAACACTGGTATATATATTGGTGAAGCTGGTAATTATGTGAGTGGTGTAGTGATATATTGATGGAGCTGGTAATTATGTGAGTGGTGTAGTGATACACTGATGAAGCTGGTAATTATTTGAGTGGTGTAGTGATACATTGATGGAGCTGGTTATTATGTGAGTGGTGTAGTGATACATTGATGGAGCTGGTAATTATGTGAGTGGTGTAGTGATATATTGATGAAGCTGGTAATTATGTGAGTGGTGTATCGATACATTGATGGAGCTGGTAATTATGTGAGTGGTGTAGTGATATATTGTTGAAGCTGGTAATAAAGTGAGTGGTGTAGTGATATATTGATGAAGCTGGTAATTATGTGAGGTGATAACACCAGTGATTATGTGAGGAATGAATTAAGGTAGAAGTACATTGCAAGTTATTACGTGGCATCTATTTGTTAAGAAAGCATTTATCTTTTATGTTTCCATACCAAAGAAATAGCATATGCCACGCCCACTAGCGGACTTCTGGCGAGGCGTGTTTGGCTATGCATGGTACAAATATTATAGATTAATGATACCTTCCACTTTTAGTGACTTATTTTGATATGTCACTCTCATGATCATTCCATTGTTTATATAATACTTTACACATCTCAAGAGTTCAACGCATTTTTACAACTACATTTATCTGCCCGACTGCAGTGTTTGTCGCCGGCTACGTAGCAATGCCCGATGCAACATCTACGGCGAAAGATAAAATATGCTTTTATGACAAAACGTCTCAAGCCTTTCAGAGCCATTGAAGTTGAACGTGAACTGTCCAAACTACAACACATACCCGACAAAAGATTCAGAACAACTAAGAGGACTGACGTCGATCCAAAGCAACGAAAACAACACCAGATGGGATGTTGAAATGTTCCACTGTGGCTAATAATATGATAACTCAGCCTGCAATGGCGATATATGCTCATATACAACAAAGGATAATTGGAAAAGCAGTCCATTATCTAGACCTCATTTGACAGGCAAAACTGTCATCCAACGACACGCTCTGTGGCCCAAGGGAGACAACTCATTTCTTTCCGTTTTTCTATCAGCTGCTCAGTGGACTTGTCCATGCCTACATCTATATATCTTGATAACAACAATAGTGAGTAGGTCTGTGTGGGAGGGATATATCGATAACAATAGGGATGGCGTCTGTGTTGGAAATCCAGTGCGGACAATATACATGTCTGGAAACACCGAAATACTGGCAGCTACTTTAGATTCAAGCGCTGTGACAGGTCACTTCAGTCAACAATCACGATGCTTCGTGATGTCCGGAGGGTACTGTCTCAGGACCTGTTACTTCTGCTACTGCTACTGCTACTGCTACTGCAACTGCAATAGTTACTGCAACAGCTACTGCTACTTCTACCGCAACAGCTACTGCAACAGCTACTGCTACTTCTACCGCAACAGCTACTGCTACTTCTGCCGCAACAGCTACTGCAACTGCCACCTCTGCTGGCACTCCATCGCCCACTCCACTACAATTTTGAGCATTAATTGTGTGTTTTAACATAATCGATCGTTTCAGATAATCAGAACGATTGCTGGCGTCAGCTGAGGCCACACAACTTTCACCCCAACATTCCCTATATAACCAGAACAATTACCAGGCCCTGCGATTGGTAACACCATGACTGTCTCCCCGGGTCTGTGTAGGTCACCCCGACAGTCAATATATAACCAGAACGATTACCAGGCCCTGCGATTGGTAACACCATGACTGTCTCCCCGGGTCTGTGTAGGTCACCACAACATTCCCTATATAACCAGAACAATTACCAGGCCCTGCGATTGGTAACACCATGACTGTCTTCCCGGGTCTGTGTAGGTCACCCCGACAGTCAATATATAACCAGAACGATTACCAGGCCCTGCGATTGGTAACACAATAACTGTCACCCCGGGTCTGTGTAGGTCACCCCGGGTCTGTGTAGGTGACCCCGGACAGACATCGCGATAGCACTAATGTATTGATCTAATGTTAATTAAGAACTATGTTTCAGTCTGAATATGGTTACACTTGATCAGTTTGATTCATCTCTGCATACTGTTGATACAACCTCGTGGTCTGCTATATCGACAATGCATCTCCGTCTTCATTCCCACACTTACAGCAGTCAGACGATTACATGCTTGCCACTTACTAAAGTGCTGCGGGTGAAATAATTGAGGTGGTATATACCGATAAGATATAGGCTATAATTCAGGTGGTATAAACCGATAAGATATAGGCTATAATTGAGGTGGTATAAACCGATAAAATATAGGCTATAATTGAGGTGGTATATACCGATAAGATATAGGCTATAATTGAGGTGGTATAAACCGATAAGATATAGGCTATACTTGAGGTGGTATAAACCGATAAGATATAGGCTATAATTCAGGTGGTATATACCGATAAGATATAGGCTATAATTGAGGTGGTATAAACCGATAAGATATAGGCTATAATTGAGGTGGTATATACCGATAAGATATAGGCTATAATTCAGGTGGATAAGATATATACCGATAAGATATAGGCTATATAACCGATGAATTACCGAGATATAGGTGGTATATACCGATAAGATATAGGCTGTAATTGAGGTGGTATAACTATAAATGAGGTGGTATATACCGATAAGATATAGGCTAATTGAAAGATATAGGCTAGAGGTGGTATAAACCGATGATAAGATATAGGCTATAATTGAGGTGGTATAATGGAGGTGGTATATACCGATAAGATATAGGCTATAATTGAGGTGGGTATATAAGATATAGGCCGATAAGATATAGGCTATAATTGAGGTGGTATAAACCGATAAGATATAGGCTAGAGATAAGATGGTATAATAAGATGAGGTGGTATAAACCGATAAACCGATATATAGGCTATAATTAAACCGATAATAAGATATAGGCTAGGTGGTATAAACCGATAAGATATAGGCTATAATTGAGGTGGGTATATAACCGATAAGATATAGGCTATAATTCAGGTGGTATATACCGATAAGATATAGGCTATAATTGAGGTGGTATATACCGATAAGATATAGGCTATAATTCAGGTGGTATAAACCGATAAGATATAGGCTGTAATTGAGGTGGTATAACCGATAAGATATAGGCTATAAATGAGGTGGTATAAACCGATAAGATATAGGCTATAATTGAGGTGGTATATACCGATGAGATATAGGCTATAATTCAGGTGGTATAAACCGATAAGATATAGGCTATAATTCAGGTGGTATATACCGATGAGATATAGGCTATAATTCAGGTGGTATAAACCGATAAGATATAGGCTATAATTGAGGTGGTATATACCGATAAGATATAGGCTATAATTGAGGTGGTATATACCGATAAGATATAGGCTATAATTCAGGTGGTATATACCGATAAGATATAGGCTATAATTGAGGTGGTATAAACCGATAAGATATAGGCTGTAATTGAGGTGGTATAACCGATAAGATATAGGCTATAATTGAGGTGGTATAAACCGATAAGATATAGGCTATAACTGAGGTGGTATAAACCGATAAGATATAGGCTATAATTGTCCACACTCTCTGTTGTGCTCAAGTTCTGTGTTGATAGAAGAGACCAAGTGCGACAAGTTAGATTCCCCGTTGCTATTTACGAGGAGAAGAAGGCTCAAGAAGATTGCCCGTTGTTGTGAGGACGGGTCTGTTCGCAAGGTGAGAGGTGCAGGGTTTCGTCTGTTGCTGTCTTGTCATACAACATCTCCCCCACCAACCTATCCAGTAACCACACGATCCACACAAAAAACAAAACAACACAAAACAAAAACAAACAAAAACCCAACCACCCCTTTTCACCCCAACCCCAACAGTACACTGGTCCTCCATGCTTACCCCAACATTTTCGTCAAGAAACCGGGAAATTCATTCAGGCGAATACAGTGTCCTAAATGTTCAGGCTGGAAAGGTGAAGCAAATATAGGTCTCAACCTGACAGTAGACTGGATGTATTTAAGAGGAATAAAACACCCAAGCACACCTCAACCACATCATCTACACCACACAGGTGTAGGAATAAAACACCCAAGCACACCTCAACCACATCATCTACACCACACAGGTGTAGGAATAAAACACCCAAGCATACCTCAACCACATCATCTACACCACACAGGTGTAGGAATAAAACACCCAAGCACACCTCAACCACATCATCTACACCACACACAAGAAGAGGGCTTCATTCAACACTGTGAACTATAAAAAAAAATAATACTGTCGGAAATAGAAGAAAACCTGTATTTTCTCATTTATCTCTACAATTTATATAGTTGATATGTGAAAGTGTGAAATATCTGTTAAACTAAGTTCGGTCTAACTACAGTCTCAGTGGTAGAGAGATAGGAAACGGAGAAAAAGGACTTTACTGAGGGGAAATTAGTGCAGAAATGAGCAATGCGGGTTTTTTCTAAGTCCAAAAAGTATTTGGAACAGACCATGGCTTTATGCAAATTAGTGTGCGTCGATATTGGACCCCGGGGCATGTTGGACCTCGTCAGCTGATCGCATGACGTCACAGTATTATAACTTACTGCGATGTAGTTGTATGGTGTGCACCAAGTGAAGCAGTTAATGGCTTGTTTCCCGAGTAATGAAATGTTGCTTGTCTCTACCAGTGCAGTTGTGTGACAGGCTCTCTAGTAAAGCAGTATTTGTTCCCTTGTGACGCAGTCGGTGAGAAGCGGTTATATCTGAGTCTCTGACCTCAAAGCGATCGTAAATCATTTACAGGAAGGCAGCTGCTATAGTACTGTCGGAAATAGAAAAAAACTGATTTTAGGCTGTTACTCTGTATCCCTAATATTGACACATATATACCAACATGCCCCGGTCCTTGATCAGCTGACAGGGTTCACATATATACCAACATGCCCCGGTCCATGATCAGCTGACAGGGTTCACATATATACCAACATGCCCCAGTCCATGATCAGCTGACAGGGTTCACATATATACCAACATGCCCTGGTCCATGATCAGCTGACAGGGTTCACATATATACCAACATGCCCCAGTCCATGATCAGCTGACAGGGTTCACATATATACCAACATGCCCCGGTCCATGATCAGCTGACAGGGTTCACATATATACCAACATGCCCCGGTCCATGATCAGCTGACGGGTCCACATATATACCAACATGCCCTGGTCCATGATCAGAGCTGACGGGGTCCACTTATATACCAAAATGCCCCGGTCCATGATCAGCTGACAGGGTTCAAATATATACCAACATGCCCCTGTCCATGATCAGCTGACAGGGTTCACATATATACCAACATGCCCCGGTCCATGATCAGCTGACAGGGTTCACATATATACCAACATGCCCCGGTCCATGATCAGCTGACGGGTCCACATATATACCAACATGGCCCGGTCCATGATCAGCTGACGGGGTCAACAGATATACCAACATGCCCCGGTCCATGATCAGCTGACAGGGTTCACATATATACCAACATGCCCCGGTCAATGATCAGCTGACGGGGTCAACAGATATACCAACATGCCCTGGTCCATGATCAGCTGACGGGTCCACATATATACCAACATGGCCCGGTCCATGATCAGCTGACGGGGTCAACAGATATACCAACATGCCCCGGTCCATGATCAGCTGACAGGGTTCACATATATACCAACATGCCCCGGTCCATGATCAGCTGACAGGGTTCACATATATACCAACATGCCCCGGTCCATGATCAGCTGACAGGGTTCACATATATATACCAACATGCCCCGGTCCATGATCAGCTGACAGGGTTCACATATATACCAACATGCCCCGGTCCATGATCAGCTGACGGGTCCACATATATACCAACATGCCCTGGTCCATGATCAGAGCTGATGGGGTCCACATATATACCAAAATGCCCCGGTCCATGATCAGCTGACAGGGTTCAAATATATACCATTATGCCCCGGTCCATGATCAGCTGACAGGGTTCACATATATACCAACATGCCCCGGTCCATGATCAGCTGACAGGGTTCACATATATACCAACATGCCCTGGTCCATGATCAGCTGACGGGTCCACATATATACCAACATGGCCCGGTCCATGATCAGCTGACGGGGTCAACAGATATACCAACATGCCCCGGTCCATGATTAGCTGACAGGGTTCACATATATACCAACATGCCCCGGTCAATGATCAGCTGACGGGGTCAACAGATATACCAACATGCCCTGGTCCATGATCAGCTGACGGGTCCACATATATACCAACATGGCCCGGTCCATGATCAGCTGACGGGGTCAACAGATATACCAACATGCCCCAGTCCATGATCAGCTGACAGGGTTCACATATATACCAACATGCCCCGGTCCATGATCAGCTGACAGGGTTCACATATATACCAACATGCCCCGGTCCATGATCAGCTGACGGGTGAACATATACACCAACATGCCCCGGTCAATGATCAGCTGACGGGTCCACATATATACCAACATGCCCCGGTCCATGATCAGCTGATGGGTCCACATATATACCAACATGCCCCGGTCCATGATCAGCTGACGGGTCCACATATATACCAACATTCCCTGGTCCATGATCAGCTGACGGGTCCACATATATACCAACATGCCCCGGTCCATGATCAGCTGATGGGTCCTCATATACCAACATGCCCTGGTCCATGATCAGAGCTGACGGGGTCCACATATATACCAAAATGCCCCGGTCCATGATCAGCTGACAGGGTTCACATATATACCAACATGCCCTGGTCCATGATCAGCTGACAGGGTTCACATATATACCAACATGCCCCGGTCCATGATCAGAGCTGACGGGGTCCACATATATACCAAAATGCCCCGGTCCATGATCAGCTGACAGGGTTCAAATATATACCAACATGCCCCGGTCCATGATCAGCTGACAGGGTTCACATATATACCAACATGCCCCGGTTCATGATCAGCTGACAGGGTTCACATATATACCAACATGCCCCGGTCCATGATCAGCTGACGGGTCCACATATATACCAACATGGCCCAGTCCATGATCAGCTGACGGGGTCCACAGATATACCAACATGCCCCGGTCCATGATCAGCTAACAGGGTTCACATATATACCAACATGCCCCGGTCCATAATCAGCTGACAGGGTTCACATATATATACCAACATGCCCCGGTCCATGATCAGCTGACGGGTCCACATATACACCAACATGCCCCGGTCCATGATCAGCTGACGGGTGAACATATACACCAACATGCCCCGGTCAATGATCAGCTGATGGGTCCTCTTATATACCAACATGCCCTGGTCGTGATCAGCTGACGGGTCCACATATATACCAACATGCCCCGGTCCATGATCAGCTGACGGGTCCACAGATATACCAACATGCCCCGGTCTGCGATCAGCTGACGGGGTCCACATATATACCAACATGTCGCGGTAACAAACACATTTCGCTGAACACAACCCACATGTTGTTCTGATTCTCTTTAAAAGAATCCATAAAGCTCTACACAGGATTTCCAGCTTACAGGGTGTTTTGTTCACGAAATATGCGATATTAATACAATAACAAATAGGCGTCTATAAATAGATGTATGTCATGTACACAAAGAGAGGGGCGCCAAGTGAATCTACCAGTGAAGGAACATTTCAATACATCAAACAGACTGACCTTGAATTACTCTGCGAGTTTGATCTAGTCAACCCCTTCACGGGTATGTCGGCTGGGGTTTGGACGCTCAAAGACCGTATTAGACTCCCGGGATAGCGGCGTGTTGGCCGACTGTGTCTACCACCCATAGCCGAATGGCAGGTAACTTCAAGGCCGGGTAGCCACCTCACATGCAGCTGTACGTGACGTAGACTCTTACTCTGAGCTGTGCTTGGGGAGGGGATACAGGCCGAACTCACCTGTAGAAAAGAGGTGATACAGGTAGAACTCACCTGTAGACGTTCAGGTGTCACAATGAGGTGTATATTCGGCTAATCCTGTCGTGGTCGGGGGTATAAGTACTTACTGCAGCGTATAACACTAAGCCCGGACACACAAGGCTGATCCCAGCTAAATATATCCCCTGTCTCGACAGGCTTGTTTCAGTTCAGTACAAGGTGAGCTCGCGGGACCGGATTAGCAGTGGCAGGCGATATAAGTCTCTTTATATTTATATATGTATACTCCCAGGCAAAAGTTACTGTGACACACAAACAACAAACAGGAATCAGGGCTAAACTCTCTTTGTCGCGAAAGAAAAGTTATAGAGGAAAGACACATGTTGAAAACTTAGTAATAATCAACAAACGAACATCGTACCTGGGTAATGCAAATACTAACATCGTACCTGGGTAATGCAATTACTAACATCGCACCTGGGTAATGCAAATACTAACATCGTACCTGGGTAATGCAAATACTAACATCGTACCTGGGTAATGCAATTACTAACATCGCACCTGGGTAATGCAATTACTAACATCGCACCTGCGTAATGCAATTACTAACATCGCACCTGGGTAATACAAAAACTAGCATCGGACCTGGGTAATGCAATTACTATCATCGCACCTGAGTAATGCAATTACTATCATCGCACCTGGGTAACGCCATTACTATCATTGCACCTGGGTAATACAAATACTAACATTGCACCTGGGTAATACAAATACTAACATCGCACCTGGGTATGCAAATGAGCCACAAAACAAGAGGGGGAGGTATCACAAGAAAGTTCAAAAGGTCAGTAGCAAGTATGTCCACCTTGTGCATTGATGCATGCCTGGCACCTTCACCTCATTGAGGCTACTAAACGATGGAAGTCTTACGGAAGATAATTTCATATCCGAGGAAGGATTTGTCGGCGTTCCTGCAGCTTGTTGGATTCGGGTGACGTGGTTGTCGTTCTATTGCATCGTGTTCAGTGGGGGACAAATCCAGGGTAACACATTTCCGTTGTTCTGATTAAGATACTGCGATACAGGTGGAGCAACGTGTGGTCTGGCGGTATCAGGTTCTGTTGCCAAAATGGTAGAGCGGCCACATGTAGACTGTGGACACCTGTCCTGATGTAACGTTCACCTGTAGACTGTAGACACCTGTCGTGATGTAAGGTTCACCTGTAGATTATAGACACCTGTCGTGATGTAACGTTCACCTGTAGACTATAGGCACCTGTACTGATGTAACGTTCACCTGTAGACTGTAGACACATGTCCTGTTGTAACGTTCACCTGTAGACTGTAGACACATGTCCTGATGTAACGTTCACCTGTAGACTGTAGACACATGTCCTGATGTAACGTTCACCTGTAGACTGTAGACACCTGTCCTGATGTAACGTTCACCTGGAGACTGTAGACACCTGTCCTGATGTAACGTTCACCTGTAGACTGTAGACACCTGTCGTGATGTAACGTTCACCTGTGAGTCTGTAGACACCTGTCCTGATGTAACGTTCAACTGTAGACTGTAGACACCTGTCCTGATGTAGACTATAGACACATGTCCTGATGTAACGTTCACCTGTAGACTGTAGACACCTGTCCTGATGTAACGTTCACCTGTAGACTGTAGACACCTGTCTGCTGTCAGGTTGGCAGACTGTAAATTTGGCGAAGAAGGAAATGTCACTCAACGTTGAAGAGAAGTCTTTTTCATTCACGTGCTCCCCATTGCAAGCACTGTCTGCTCCAACGGCTACGCCGACGCGAAATTCTGAGGGCAGAGTTAGCCGTTGGGTTGGGCTTTCTGCTCGGATGTCGTAGATGTCGTAGTCTGTAAACTGGTGTTGACGATGTGTGTGATGACAGGAATCAGAACATCGCTCACCTCCATCAGCAGACTCGTGGGTATTGGACCTAGTTCACAGGTCGTCTGCTTGGATTTCTTGATGAGGGTTATCATTTCACTTTCCAACACAGGTTCAATCTGAGCAAGTCGTTCCCCTGAGATATGATCGTGGGCCGTAATATCTTTGGGTGTTGAAGACTGCAGAGTTCTTAAATCTGCTCGGATATTGAAAAGTTTAGTTAAGAAGTAAGAATTGAACTTTTTAGAGAGATTCTCATCACTTTCCTCTGTCGGAAGTGGCTTTTGATCTCCTTTTCCTAGGAGTTTTGACAGATCCCAAAGAACTTTAGGGTCGTTTGAGTTGGAGAGAATCATCTCACGGCAGTCTGTTGACTTAGCATTCCGGATAAGCTTCTTCAAATCGGTTCTTGCTTGCTTATATATTTGCCTGTCAACTTCTAAACCTGATTTGTTCCACTTCTGTTCTGCTCTACGCCCGTGTACTTTTGCCGTCTATATGTCACAATTGTACCAAGGTGCATTTGGTTCGTGTAACAGAGGGTGCGTGCTTGTCTAGCAGGTCACCCAGTGTGGATTCATACAGGTCCACTATAGTCTGTTTGCAGTGAAAACGTACCGATGAATGTCAATTTAAACAAAAAAGTAAATCGAATAAGAAGAAATTAAGAATCCCCATAATTTTACCTTGCCAATTGAACATTTAAATACCAGAATTTATTCAACTTAGGATAAAAGTTGTTTAACAAACGATCATAGTTGCAAATCGCTATTATTGGTTTGTATTACAAGGGTGTATGCACATTAAATGAAACACCGAGAACAAGTAGAGTTGGTCTAAGTTAACGCTCATCACGAACCGCACGTGCATTTGTTTCACTGTTCAATCTACTGCGCTCACCCCCTTGTACAAACCAATAATAGCGATTTGAATGTATGATCGTTTGTTAAACAACTTTTGTCCTACAATGAATAAAATTCTGAGATTTAAATGTTCAGTTGGCAAGGCAAATTTATGAGGATTCGCAGTCTTAATTTCACTTTATTTGATTTACTTTTTTCCTTAAAGTGAAATTCATCGGTACGTTTTCACTGCAAACAGACTAAAGTTCATCGATCCAGTTTGTGGAGTAGACTAAGAGCGGGGTGTCATTTCTGTCATCAAACTGTCATCACCAACTGTTCGGAGCCACGATTCTGTGATAAACATTACATCCAAGTTCTATTCAACAATGAAATCTGCAGTTTCTAAAGTTTATTCCTGGCTGACTGTGCGTTCCACGTGGCAGCTTGAACTTTAGATGATCTCTTCGGTGGGTGAACATTTATTAGGTTATTTACATTACATGTCAAACGAACACATAATTTAACTCTTGTGTACATAGGGAACACATATCCCAGGCCACCGTTGATGATACGTTGAGACAATTTAGAACGATCAACAGAGTCAAATGCCTTTTTGTGACAAAATGTCTGCCGACGTTACCTATGATTTAAGTCTTTACCGTTGTTTGATCGGCAGAAGTTGGCGAGTCAACAAATGAAACATGACATATAAAAAACTTTTATTTTGATAAGTTATTAACGATGTAAGAATCTACATCGAAAGGTCGCTTAACGCAAATAAACCAGAAGTTGTCATCCATCAAGTTGTATGTTTCATTCGTCTTTACAGTTCTTTTTCTTAATATATTCATGCATATAAATTGAAGTTGTGGTCTGTAGGTGAGTTGGTCTTGTGGAAACCAGCCTGGTATTCGGATACTTGCCCAGTGTGATAGAAAGCCTGATAGTAAGACTGTTGTGAAAATAGTTCATAAAATGCTCAAGAATGATATCAGCTATATTTTTCAGGCACGACTGTGTCCTCATTCCTGTTTAAGGGGATTATAACAGAAGAAGCTCACAAACTTGGAAAAGTAGCTTCATCAATCTTTATCTTACAAACATTTTTGAGGAATTATAGTATAATTTCAGACTGGCAGCAATTCCATATTTCCTGTGAGATATTCTCATGGCCTGGAAGGGTGGGGGGGATAGCCTAGTGGTTAGAGTGTTTGCTCGTCACGCCAAAGCCCCTGGTTTGATTCCCCACGTGGGTACAAGGTGTGCAGCCCATTTCTGGTGTCCCCGCCGTGACATTGCTGTAATATTACTAAAAGCGGTGCAAAACAATATTCACTGACTCACTCTCATGGTCTGGTGCTTTCTTTAATCTCAGATAGTTAATCATCTCCGTTATTTCCTTTCACTTATGGCTGGTTCCAGTTATAGTTCACTCGTATCACCATGGGCTGGATTATTGGCAGTACCAGATAACTACGTCACTATATTTATAACAACAGTGGGTTTCGCATTGCAAAACAGAAACGTACGGCGTTCCAAATGTAACTCATGATGCAAATGATAGTATCACCGTTCAGCCCATGGTGATGTGGATGAACTATAACTGGAATCAGCCATAACAGAAAGTGAAATAACTGAGGTGATGAACTATTTGAGGTTCATCATTCACCTGATGGAGGAGTAACGATATACTCCTAAACATAGAGTTCCTCATAATAAACAAGTTGACATGCATAAACCTCTCGTCCTGATGTGTATCATTTCTAAATGCACTGAAGGACCTCGGATGTAATTTGATTATGCACACAGGTTGTCATGAGAACACATGAAGCTTGCCATGTACGGGTGTGTCCTCTCCACGTTGTCCACCCGTACTTTCACATGTACTTTGACTGGACAGCCAATATCTATAGAAATAACAGCGACACTTTCCACAATCATACGAAACCATTTAATATTGTACAACTACATATTCATCCTACGTTCATGAATCACTCTTCAGCAGTTGTCATATCAGGCGAAATGCTGTCAAACAAGGTAAGAAAAGAATCATACATCATTTTGATTGTAATTCGTCTTTCTGTACAATGTGCTGTCTACCATAAAGATTTCTCAATGCTTTACTGGGAAATGAATAATGAAACACTTGCCTAATTTCTGCGAATATGCATATGTGGAGCTGAGTTGTAGAAGGTCCAGTCGAGGCTGGAGGCGTTTCCCGTGTAGGCCCGGTCCTGCAGCTGCTTTTCAAGACAGTCGATGACCAATTGGTCCTTCTGAAGGTCAAACTTGTTAGCCACCACTTCCGGTCTGCGGGTCAACCAGGGTAGATCTTTGAAGCTGAACACGCACACGCCGTGGACGTACTCCCCCGCACAGGTGTCAGCGTCATCCTTCCATACCATCGCCCTCGATAGGAAGCTGCCTTTCTTGTGGTCCACCACCACGCTGTAGCCCCCGGGTGCGTTAGGTAGAGCGTTCAACGTCCCCCATATCATCTCCTCTGGGGCAAAGGTATCGTTGAGCCACAGAACAAAGTCTCTAGCAATTTCGCTTGTCATAACAAACTGAACAAACTTTCTGGAGAACAGACCGTACATGCTGCCTTTGTAAAACGTTATGTTATGTTTAAAGGGCTCTTTGGGAATGTGTGTCTTTTTTAGGACGCCATTTTCTATGTATTTGTGAGTCAAGTACCGGGATTTGATGAAGTCGGGAAAGGGATATGCCTCGATATCGTTAGTTCCATTCAAAGCTTGTACAATTTCTACTATTTCCAAATTTGTTTTAAGGGGGAACTCCTGGCCTGCTAGATTGATGTAATATTCCCAGTGTACGTGCGACTTCAACAGTTCCTCCATACATACAAGGTCCGTCTGTAACAGGCCAATCGAGAAATACACCACATCTATTTTCTGAATAACGATCACATTATGAAAACATTCAGACAGCTGTTTAATGACTTGGAACATCCGCCTGGACGACCCGTCGACGTGGATACAGTAGACGTTGTGAGGTCGGTAGATGTTCCGTAGTATTTGCTCGACCTGGCGCGGGAACTTATGCACCTTTATGGCGTAAGCTATAGGTATCTGTTTCTCCTTCACTGACACCGGCTTGTCCATATAGCCGTGGTGCTCCTTCAGTGATTCACAGTCTTTTAAAGCTGTTTGGAAATTGCAGTGTTGCTCTGGGTGGAGACGGTTATTGGAGAGACTCTGGTTGGCGAACATATGGAATCCCCTGCCGTGGACTAGGTCCTGACAGTGGAACCTCCTCTTGTCACGGATGTCGGAGAAGCAGGGGTGTTGTTGTCTGACATCAGCAGCCACACGCCCCCTCCTCCCCGGCAGTGTGACCTCGTGACGAAGGAGGATGGTGTGTTCAGCATAAAGCTTGTACCAGGAACACAGGACCACCAAGCCAAATACAGCGTACAGCTTCCTCCTCCTCATTGTGGTCACTGAAATGCACGTCACAATGGTCATTGAAATACACGTCACAGTGGTCATTGAAGTACACGTCACAATGGTCACTGAAATACACGCCACTGTGGTCACTGAAATACACGCCACTGTGGTCACTGAAATACAGCACGTAAGTCCCAAAGGATTTCACTGTAAATTTAAATCTACTATTATTTTTTAATCGTAGAATATATGTTCTTTGAATTTGTGGCTTGAATATCCTATAACTGAAGGGATGGTGTAAATCCAGTTAGGGTCCATGCAGGAAGCAAACGTACTGTAAGTACCCATGGTGCCTAGTATGGTGATCTACCTTCAGTTGTTGGCAATCTATAACCCGTTTTAATATTGAATTGTCATCTATAGTTAAACTGTTTTAGATTTAATTACTAGATTTAAATTCGTCTCTGTGATAATCTAGTTATTGTACTGTCCTTCGTAGACAGCTTTTTATAATTTACTTTTACTTACTATGTATACCAATTATTTGTTCTCGTCACGATATGGCTGTAATATTGACGATGTGACGATAAATTTAAACTCACTCAATCACTCACTCACTCAAAAACACGTACCAGCGCCTACTGAAACACACGTTACAGTATTCACTGAAATACACGTCACACTGGTCACTGAAATACACGTCACACTGGTCACTGAAATACACGTCACACTGGTCACTGAAATACACGTCACACTGGTCACCGAAATACACGTCATTCAAGTGTGTTCCTGTCTGTGGAAGCGTGTATATCTCTGTGTGTCGGTGTATATAAGTTTGTTCCTGAGTGTGCAAGTGTGTATATCTATGTGTGTCGGTGTATATAAGTGTGTTCCTGAGTGTGCAAGTGTGTATATCTCTGTGTGTCGGTGTGTATATGTTTGTTCCTGAGTGTGCAAGTGTGTATATCTCTGTGTGTCGGTGTGTATATGTTTGTTCCTGAGTGTGCAAGTGTGTATATCTCTATGTGTCGGTGTATATAAGTGTGTTCCTGAGTGTGCAAGTGTGTATATCTCTGTGTGTCGGTGTATATAAGTGTGTTCCTGAGTGTGCAAGTGTGTATATCTCTGTGTGTCGGTGAGTATATGTTTGTTCCTGAGTGTGCAAGTGTGTATATCTCTATGTGTCGGTGTATATAAGTGTGTTCCTGAGTGTGCAAGTGTGTATATCTCTGTGTGTCGGTGTATATAAGTGTGTTCCTGAGTGTGCAAGTGTGTATATCTCTGTGTGTCGGTGAGTATATGTTTGTTCCTGAGTGTGCAAGTGTGTATATCTCTGAGTGTCGGTGTATAAGTGTGTATATCTCTGTGTGTCGGTGTATATAAGTGTGTTCCTGAGTGTGCAAGTGTGTATATATCTCTGTGTGTCAAGGTGTATATAAGTGTGTTCCTGGATGTGCAAGTGTGTATATCTAGTGTGTCGTATATCTCTGTTCCTGAGTGTCGGTGTATATATCCTGTGTGTCGGTGTAAATAAGTGTGTGTTCCTGAGTGTGCAAGTGTGTATATCTCTGTGTGTCGGTGTATATAAGTGTGTTCCTGAGTGTGCAAGTGTGTATATCTCTGTGTGTCGGTGTATATAAGTGTGTTCCTGAGTGTGCAAGTGTATATCTCTGTGTGTCGGTGTATATAAGTGTGTTCCTGAGTGTGCAAGTGTATATATCTCTGTGTGTGTCGGTGTATATAAGTGTGTTCCTGTTCCTGAGTGTGCAAGTGTGTATATCTCTCTGTGTGTCGGTGTATATAAGTGTGTTCCTGAGTGTGCAAGTGTGTATATCTCTGTGTGTTCCTGAGTGTGCAAGTGTGTATATAAGTGTGTGTTTCCTGAGTGTGCAAGTGTGTATATCTCTGTGTGTCGGTGTATATAAGTGTGTTCTGTTCCTGTGTATCTCTCTGTGTGCAAGTGTGTATATCTCTGTGTCGGTGTATATAAGTGTGTTCCTGAGTGTGCAAGTGTGTATATCTGTGTGTCGGTGTATATAAGCGTGTTCCTGAGTGTGCAAGTGTGTTCTCTGTGTGTCGGTGTGCAAGTGTGTTCCTGGTGTGCATCTCTGTGTGTCGGTGTATATAAGTGTGTTCCTGAGTGTGCAAGTGTGTGTATATCTCTGTGTCGGTGTATATAAGTGTGTTCCTGAGTGTGCAAGTGTGTATATCTCTGTGTGTCGGTGTATATAAGTGTGTTCCTGAGTGTGCAAGTGTGTATATCTCTGTGTGTCGGTGTATATAAGTGTGTTCCTGAGTGTGCAAGTGTGTATATCTCTGTGTGTCGGTGTATATAAGTGTGTTCCTGAGTGTGCAAGTGTGTATATCTCTGTGTGTCGGTGTATATAAGTGTGTTCCTGAGTGTGCAAGTGTGTATATCTCTGTGTGTCGGTGTATATAAGTGTGTTCCTGAGTGTGCAAGTGTGTATATCTCTGTGTGTCGGTGTATATAAGTGTGTTCCTGAGTGTGCAAGTGTGTATATCTCTGTGTGTCGGTGTATATAAGTGTGTTCCTATGTGTGCAAGTGTGTATATCACTGTGTGTCGGTGTATATCACTGTGTGTCGGTGTAATAAGTGTGTTCCTGAGTGTGCAAGTGTGTATATCTCTGTGTGTCGGTGTATATAAGTGTGTTCCTGAGTGTGCAAGTGTGTATATCACTGTGTGTCGGTGTAAATAAGTGTGTTCCTGAGTGTGCAAGTGTGTATATCTATGTGTGTCGGTGTATATAAGTGTGTTCCTGAGTGTGCAAGTGTGTATATCTCTGTGTGTCGGCGTAAATAAGTGTGTTCCTGGATGTGCAAGTGTGTATATCTCTGTATGTCGGTCTATGTAAGTTTGTTCCTGAGTGTGCAAGTGTGTATATCTCTGTGTGTCGGTGTATATAAGTGTGTTCCTGAGAGTGCAAGTGTGTATATCTCTGTGTGTCGGTGTATATAAGTGTGTTCCTGGATGTGCAAGTGTGTATATCTCTGTGTGTCGGTGTATATAAGTGTGTTCCTGGATGTGCAAGTGTGTATATCTCTGTGTGTCGGTGTATATAAGTTTGTTCCTGAGTGTGCAAGTGTGTATATCTCTGTGTGTCGGTGTATATAAGTGTGTTCCTGAGTGTGCAAGTGTGTATATCTCTGTGTGTCGGTGTATATAAGTGTGTTCCTGAGTGTGCAAGTGTGTATATCTCTGTGTGTCGGTGTATATAAGTGTGTTCCTGAGTGTGCAAGTGTGTATATCTATGTGTGTCGGTGTATATGGAGGTTCCTGAGTGTGCAAGTGTGCATATCTCTGTGTGTCTCTCTATATAAGTGTGTTCCTGGATGTGCAAGTGTGTATATCTCTGTGTGTCGGTGTATATAAGTGTGTTCCTGAGTGTGCAAGTGTGTATATCTCTGTGTGTCGGTGTATATAAGTGTGTTCCTGAGTGTGCAAGTGTGTATATCTCTGTGTGTCGGTGTATATAAGTATGTTCCTGAGTGTGCAAGTGTGTATATCTCTCTGTGTCGGTGTAAATAAGTGTGTTCCTGAGTGTGCAAGTGTGTATATCTATGTGTGTCGGTGTATATAAGTGTGTTCCTGAGTGTGCAAGTGTGTTTATCTCTGTGTGTCGTCGTATATAAGGTGTCCCTGAGTGTGCAAGTGTGTATATCTCTGTGTGTCGGTGTATATAAATGTGTTCCTGAGTGTGCAAGTGTCTATATCTCTATCTGTGTCGGTGTATATAAGTGTGTTCCTGGATATGCAAGTGTGTATATCTCTGTGTGTCGGTGTATATACGTGTGTTCCTGGATGCGCATGTGTGTATAACTCTGTGTGTCGGTGTATATAAGAGTCTTCCTGGATGTGCAAGTGTGTATATCTCTGTGTGTCGGAAAATATCAGTGTGTTCCTGAGTGTGCAAGTGTGTATATCTCTGTGTGTCGGTGTATATACGTGTGTTCCTGGATGTGCAAGTGTGTATATCTATGTGTGTCGGTGTATATAAGTGTATTCCTGAGTGTGCAAGTGTGTATATCTCTGTCTGTCGGTGTATATAAGTGTCTTCCTGAGTGTGCAAGTGTGTATATCTCTGTCTGTCGGTGTATATACGTGTGTTCCTGGATGTGCAAGTGTGTATATCTCTGTGTTCCGGTGTATATAAGTGTGTTCCTGGATGTGCAAGTGTGTATATCTATGTGTGTCGGTGTATATAAGTGTGTTCCTGAGTGTGCAAGTGTGTATATCTCTGTCTGTCTGTGTATATAAGTGTGTTCCTGGATGTGCAAGTGTGTATATCTCTATGTGTCGGTGTATATAAGTGTGTTCCTGGATGTGCAAGTGTGTATATCTCTGTCTGTCGGTGTATATACGTGTGTTCCTGGATGTGCAAGTGTGTATATCTCTGTGTGTCGGTGTATATAAGTGTGTTCCTGGATGTGCAAGTGTGTATATCTCTGTGTGTGTCGGTGTATATAAGTGTGTTCCTGAGTGTGCAAGTGTGTATATCTCTGTGTGTCGGTGTATATATAAGTGTGTTCCTGGATGTGCAAGTGTGTATATCTCTGTGTGTCGGTGTATATAAGTGTGTTCCTGGATGTGCAAGTGTGTATATCTATGTGTGTCGGTGTATATAAGTGTGTTCCTGAGTGTGCAAGTGTGTATATCTCTGTGTGTCGGTGTATATACGTGTGTTCCTGGATGTGCAAGTGTGTATATCTCTGTGTGTCGGTGTATATAAGTGTGTTCCTGAGTGTGCAAGTGTGTTTATCTCTGTGTGTCGTCGTATATAAGGTGTCCCTTAGTGTGCAAGTGTGTATATCTCTGTGTGTCGGTGTATATAAATGTGTTCCTGAGTGTGCAAGTGTCTATATCTCTATCTGTGTCGGTGTATATAAGTGTGTTCCTGGATATGCAAGTGTGTATATATCTGTGTGTCGGTGTATATACCTGTGTTCCTGGATGTGCAAGTGTGTATATCTCTGTGTGTCGGTGTAAATAAGTGTGTTCCTGTGTGTGCAAGTGTGTATATATCTGTGTGTCGGTGTATATAAGTGTGTTCCTGAGTGTGCAAGTGTGTTTATCTATGTGTGTCGGTGTATATGTTTGTTCCTGAGTGTGCAAGTGTGTTTATCTCTGTGTGTCGGTGTATATACGTGTGTTCCTGGATGCGCATGTGTGTATAACTCTGTGTGTCGGTGTATATAAGTGTCTTCCTGGATGTGCAAGTGTGTATATCTCTGTGTGTCGGTAAATATCAGTGTGTTCCTGAGTGTGCAAGTGTGTATATCTCTGTGTGTCGGTGTATATACGTGTGTTCCTGGATGTGCAAGTGTGTATATCTATGTGTGTCGGTGTATATAAGTGTGTTCCTGAGTGTGCAAGTGTGTATATCTCTGTCTGTCGGTGTATATAAGTGTCTTCCTGAGTGTGCAAGTGTGTATATCTCTGTGTGTCGGTGTATATACGTGTGTTCCTGGATGTACAAGTGTGTATATCTCTGTGTTCCGGTGTATATAAGTGTGTTCCTGGATGTGCAAGTGTGTATATCTATGTGTGTCGGTGTATATAAGTGTGTTCCTGAGTGTGCAAGTGTGTATATCTCTGTCTGTCGGTGTATATAAGTGTGTTCCTGGATGTGCAAGTGTGTATATCTCTGTGTGTCGGTGTATATAAGTGTGTTCCTGGATGTGCAAGTGTGTATATCTCTGTCTGTCGGTGTATATACGTGTGTTCCTGGATGTGCAAGTGTGTATATCTCTGTGTGTCGGTGTATATAAGTGTGTTCCTGGATGTGCAAGTGTGTATATCTATGTGTGTCGGTGTATATAAGTGTGTTCCTGAGTGTGCAAGTGTGTATATCTCTGTGTGTCGGTGTATATACGTGTGTTCCTGGATGTGCAAGTGTGTATATCTCTGTGTGTCGGTGTATATAAGTGTGTTCCTGGATGTGCAAGTGTGTATATCTATGTGTGTCGGTGTATATAAGTGTGTTCCTGAGTGTGCAAGTGTGTATATCTCTGTATGTCGGTGTATATAAGTGTGTTCCTGAGTGTGCAAGTGTGTATATCTCTGTGTGTCGGTGTATATACGTGTGTTCCTGGATGTGCAAGTGTGTATATCTCTGTGTGTCGGTGTATATAAGTGTGTTCCTGAGTGTGCAAGTGTGTATATCTCTGTGTGTCGGCGTATATAAGTGTCTTCCTGAGTGTGCAAGTGTGTATATCTATGTGTGTCGGTGTATATAAGTGTGTTCCTGAGTGTGCAAGTGTGTATATCTCTGTTTATCGGTGTGAATAAGTGTGTTCCTGAGTGTGCAAGTGTGTATATCTCTGTGTGTCGATGTATATGGATTTGTTTCTGAGTGTGCAAGTTTGTATATCTCTGTGTGTCGGTGTAAATAAGTTTGTGACTGGATTTGCAAGTCTGTGTATCTATGTGTGTCGGTGTATATGTTTGTTCCTAAGTGTGCAAGTGTGTATATCTCTGTGTGTCGGTGTAAATAAGTGTGTTCCTGAGTGTGCAAGTGTGTATATCTCTGTTTGTCGGTGTGAATAAGTGTGTTCCTGAGTGTGCAAGTGTGTATATCTCTGTGAGTCGGTGTATATAAATTTGTTTCTGAGTGTGCAAGTTTGTATATAATTCTGTGTGTCGGTGTATATCAATATGTACTTGTGTTCCTGTGCATATCAGTGTGTATTTACCTGTGATTGAACCCGGGATTAAATTGCATTTCAGCAACCCATGCTTATCATAAGAGGCGGGTGGTCGGGCTCGCTGACTTACTAGTAGTTGACACATGTCATTGTATGCCCACTGTGCAGATCGATGTTCATGATGTTGATCACTGGATTGTCCGGTCGGTGTGTATATTTCTGCGCATGTTTTTGTATATCTGCATCTGTCTACATCTACGCGAGTCTGGGAGAGAGTGTTTCATAATGCCAGACAACTGAGATACCGGGCCGTAGTGTAGCAATAAGCCAACTCACCAGCCTTCGTATCACGCTGTTACTGCACGGGCAGGAACGTAGTCGAGGATCGACGCATAACACTACCGCCCTCCGGTGGTCTGCCTGCAAAAACATTGAGTTCAGTTCGCTTTCATTCTCGTACATAAAGTCTTGAAGTCGTGGCTAGAGCTAGATGTTCACCTGTTGCCAATGATGCTTTTCAACCATACTTACTGATCTCAGTGGTGTAAATGTCCCACCTTCAGCGCCCTGTACATGATGATGTTGATCTGGAAACATGTATCTATGATGTAGAGAACGTTGAAGGCATCGGCGTCAGTCTATTCATCACTCAACCGATCGAGGTAACAGCTTCTCCCGGTGACATCGAGTGGTACACAATATACACATTGATCCCACAGCGCAATGTACAGCAGCTTGCTGGACACACACACACACCACTCAATAACCCTATGTTAGACAGCATGGCTTGCTGAGAGAGCAAAGTCTCGTCATGGGCCTTGTTTTGGTTAATTTCTCCAGGTAATAAAATGTAATATTTTCTGTGATCGGAAGCTGTCTGCTTCCACTTTCCATTGTAAAACCTCTGGCACTCTTCAAACACCACAAGTTGCAGTGGAGTACAAAGAATGTGTCCCAGCACATCTATGTGAGGTAGGGCGAGCGGTTTACGGAGACTTCATGGGGAAGTGGCAAAGTTAGTCTGACACTTCGTCCCTCCTCTGGCTTGCCTTCTGCTGGTCTGACCGCGCTCTTCCCGCTGTCTGCCGCTCTCCCCATCCTGCTTGTCTGTCTGCCTTGCCTGTTTTTAACGCAGATGGACGACTAAGAATCTACTTAAGTAGGCGATTCCCATAGACATAACCTGCTTAGCTGGTCATCTTCTGTCCAGCTTGACACGGCAAATAGTGTTACACAGGCGTCACCCGGTAGTGATATTGTAATGACATATGGCGAAGCGTAAATATACCGTGGAAAGAAAGAAGCGATAAGCCGGTAATTTCTAATAGCATGTTTGACTAGTGTATGAAATAAGGCCCGTCCAACCGCAGAAAATAATATTGCTGACAGACGGTCTAAATTTAGAGCTAGCAAGCCCGATGGTCTTGTAAAAGTTTTAGATAACATGTTCCATACATCTGAGTAAATTCACCATATCTTAAAATCTGTTTTTCAAACTGAGCGTTACATTTAGACTTGACAATTACTGCTTGAACATTGAACTATCGTATCGAAAGCTCAAAGCATTGCGTTGAGACACTGAAACCGTGACACCTATCAATGCGCAGATTTCTGCAAACTCGAAACACTGTTGTGTACAAATCAATATTGCCGAAATGTGACATCTCTCGAAGCACGGAGTTTCTACAAATTGAGTTATTTTCTTTGGACATTCGTAACTATTCGTCCCTTTCCGTAACTACTCGTCTCTTTCCGTAACTATTCGTCCCTTTCCGTAACCTGAAAGAAGACTCGTACCGCTCTCGTAGCCATTTTACTGAACTTGACTCTGCCTAAGCGCAAAAAGCGGAGAGAGAATGAATTAGTCTAGTCGCCGAACTATTTTCAAGGGCATGTAACTCTTGTTTACTTGGAAAACAAACATGGCATCTACGAAAAGGAAATTACCTCAAAGGGTATGTTTAACATGCTTAATGTTGATATATCCTGGTTATATAATTCAGGAAACCCAGGAGGACTATGCAATAATTAATATATACTTGAAGTGTCTGGGAAAAAATTATGCAAGCCAAAATGAAAACTGTTTTTGCCAAATTTCTTCTGTATATACGCACATTCTGATTGGATTGGGGAATATTTCTCCCGGACATGACCACGAGAAGGCTACAAGTCTTCTTTCAGGTTATGGAAAGGGACGAGTAGTTACGAATGTTTCTTTGGATTGTCTGGTCTGGTTAAATCCATTTTTGGCTGGTAACATTTTGAAGTTAACAGTCCTGGTGTCTGGCTGGGTTTTAGGCTTATTTCATACACTGTTATAAATTGGAAACATCTTTAGTTAGCGGTAGTATTGAATAAAAAACGCTTTGCACGGGCTCTTTGTATCCACTCGAAGCATATTTCTACTAGGTTATAGTTTTCAATATACAGTGGAGTCTGTCAAATCCGGACTTTTCACCATAATCCGGACTACTCTCTGAGTTCGTTTGATTTCAAACTTTTAATAATTACCAACACTTTTGCATCAGTATCTGTACTACACCGTCACGACAACATTGTCATTACATCAGCGTCAGAACAACACCGTCACAACAACACTCTCATTACATCAGCGTCAGAACAACACCGTCACAACAACATTGTCACTACATCAGTGTCTGTACAACACCGTCACAACAACATTGTCATTACATCAGTGTCAGAACAACACCGTCACAACACTGTCATTACATCAGTGTCTGTACAACACCGTCACAACAACATTGTCATTACATCAGTGTCTGTACAACACCGTCACAACAACACTGTCATTACATCAGTGTCAGAACAACACCGTCACAACAACACTGTCATTACATCAGTGTCTGTACAAAACCGTCACAACAACACCATCATTACATCAGTGTCTGTACAAACACTGTCATTACATCAGTGTCTGTACAACACCGTCACAACAACACTGTCATTATATCAGTGTCTTTACAACACCGTCACAACAACACTGTCATTACATCAGTGTCTGTACAACACCGTCACAACAACACTGTCATTACATCAGCGTCAGTACAACACCGTCACAACAACACTGTCATTACATCAGTGTCTGTACAACACCGTCACAACAACACTGTCATAACATCAGTGTCAGAACAACACCGTCACAACAACACCATCATTACATCAGTGTCTGTACAACACCGTCACAACAACATTGTCATTACATCAGTGTCTGTACAACACCGGCACAACAACACTGTCATTACATCAGTGTCTGTACAACACCGTCACAACAACACTGTCATTACATCGTCACAACAACACTGTCATTACATCAGTGTCTGTACAACACCGTCACAACAACACTGTCATTACATCAGTGTCTGTACAACACCGTCACAACAACACTGTCATTACATCAGTGTCTGTACAACACCGTCACAACAACACTGTCATTACATCAGTGTCAGAACAACACCGGCACAACAACACCATCATTACATCAGTGTCTGTACAACACCGTCACAACAACATTGTCATTACATCAGTGTCTCTACAACACCGTCACAACAACACTGTCATTACATCAGTGTCTGTACAACACCGTCACAACAACACTGTCATTACATCAGTGTCTGTACAACACCGTCACAACAACATTGTCATTACATCAGTGTCAGAACAACACCGGCACAACAACACTGTCATTACATCAGTGTCTGTACAACACCGTCACAACAACACTGTCATTACATCAGTGTCTGTACAACACCGTCACAACACTGTCATTACATCAGTGTCTGTACAACACCGTCACAACAACACTGTCATTACATCAGTGTCTGTACAACACCGTCACAACACTCTCATTACATCAGTGTCTGTACAACACCGTCACAACAACACTGTCATTGCATCAGTGTCTGTACAAACACCGTCACAACAACACTCTCATTACATCAGTGTCTGTACAACACCGTCACAACAACACTGTCATTACATCAGTGTCTGTACAACACCGTCACAACAACACTATCATTACATCAGCGTCTGTACAACACCGTCACGACAACACTGTCATTATATCAGTGTCTGTACAACACCGTCAAAACAACACTGTCATTACATCAGTGTCTCTACAACACCGTCACAACAACACCATCATTACATCAGCGTCTGTACAACACAGTCATTACAACACTGTCATTACATCAGCGTCTATACAACACCGTCATAACAACACTGTCATTATATCGGCGTCAGTAGAATACCGTCACAACAACATTGTCATTATGTCAGCGTCTGTACAACACCGTCACAACAACACTGTCATTATATCGGCGTCAGTAGAACATCGTCACGACAACACTGTCATCACATCAGCGTGTGTACAACACCGTCACAACAACACTGTCATTACATCAGTGTCAGTACAACACCGTCACGACAACACTGTCAGTACAACACTGCCAGTACAACACTGCTAGTACAGATATGTCAGAACTAGACTGTCACAGAACAGGACACTGTCAGTACAACACCGTCACGACAACACTACCAGTACAACACTACCAGTACAACACTGCTAGTACAGATATGTCAGAACTAGACTGTCACAGAACAGGACACTGTCAGTACAACACTGTCTGCGTCTGTGGGTTCCCACAACTCTGCGGTGAGGCAGACTCTAATCTACGATTAACATCCGACAGTTGATGCTCCAACTCCTTTCCAATACAAGTGTCACAATTAAGGCAACCTTTATGTAATGTGAAATTGTTCTCCGATACGAGTATGGTGATGTTTTATCCCCAACACCAGGTGAATATCGGATACATCAGTCGGTCATGGTGGTTACTGTCTCTTGGTTGCAACGATCTTGAATGGCCTGGCACATCGAGCCGAGATGAAAGTCTGCTGGTCGTCCAAAACCTCTCCTTCCGGCCTTGAGAATTTGAAGTGTTGCAGTAGCGTAACAGTAAAGATGAAGAGCTGGTCCTTGGCCAGAATCTCCCCAACACACTGACGCGGACCTGCAGAGCAACACAAGTGTAACAGTAAAGATGAAGAGCTGGTCCTTGGCCAGAATCTCCCCAACACACTGACGCGGACCTGCAGAGCAACACAAGTGTAACAGTAAAGATGAAGAGCTGGTCCTTGGCCAGAATCTCCCCAACACACTGACGCGGACCTGCAGAGCAACACAAGTGTACATGTGTCGATGAACTGGTGAAACTCCTTATATGGGTCAACACGTAATGTCGAGGTTCTGACAATGGTATGAATAACAGGGAGACTATCTTACATTGGACCTTGTCCGTGAAAGCTGTGCTGTAAAGAGGATTCCCCACCTGTCTTTAAGCATGCATGTGTGTATCCTCAGAACATTTCTATGAAAGCTGTGTTATTCTCCCCCTGTACGTAAACATTAGTAAATGAACCCGCCGACTTTTTCTATGAAAGGGGATTCCCCACCTGCTGAGAAGGGAAGAAATGCCGGCTGTTTTCTGTTGAAGCGCCCCTCTGAGTCCAGGAATCGCTCTGGCCTGAACATCTGAGGGTCTGGCCAGTACTTGATGTCTGTGTGACACGACTGGAGGTTACACAGTACCGTCGTATCTTTGGGAATTGTATATCCGTTGATAGTCGTCTCCTCTAGATTCTGCCGCAGTGTAAAGGAAACTGAAAGCAAGGAATCGTGAATTAAAGTTGCCAAATTTAGAAGAGAATTGTGACGCTTTGTTCTACTGTTTTCAAATGGTCAATGTTCTCGCATCATCCAACATATAATGTCAGGCGGTGACAGATTACAGTTCTCCAGAGATCAAAGATTAATTGTAAATGTGAGCTCAGGATGTGAAAACTATTCTGATTTTACAAAATACCGAAAATCTGATCATAATTTGCTTAACATCAATAGACTGATCCAGTCTGTCAATCAAAACTGGCGCATGCGTCAAATTTGGCCAATCAGCAGGCCGGGCGCGCTGTGTGGATTTGTCGGACTTATTTCCGGGGTCAAACGATACCTCCGAAGCGATGTGCTTCGAATTATGCTATTTACACACGCTATATTTATTACATATTGCTGCGATTTGATGTGTTCCTTTAACAAACCATTACGGTCAAGACAATAAAAATGGAGGCGGATCAAGAAACACGATAGGCCTAACGATCAGTTAAATGTCTGCACCATCGTTCAGGAAACCTACGTCTGCCTGCTGATGAGAATTTGCACGAATTTCCACACTTTTGCACATGTGCAAAATCATTACCAATTGATGACAACAAATAGCAGTTTAAGACTTTGCAAGTGTTATAAACACGGACAATTCTCGTAACTACAAAATTGTTTTTGCTTAACGTGTTTAGTCACTACTAGGCATTGAGTTGGTACGCCATAAAGCTCAAATGAGACAGGCGAGAAAGCCGTGACACAATGTAAACAAATCTCCATTTCGGTCAAAGGTCAACCGAAATAGCAAAACTTGTTACATGAAAGAACAATGTGGCGGATATTGTCCCCTTCGCTCTTAGATATTCTTCAATTTGTCACACATTTTAGGATGTTTTAAGTTTCATAAGCACAATCTGAAGGCCTACAGTACCTTGTTAACAGAGCAAAATATTCGAGGAGTAATATTTGTTGTTCAAACGGAAAAATTGTCAGTGTCAGCAGTTGCCTATCATGCAATATCCAAGTATCAGACTTAATTCATATGAGTGCCTATAAAACCATGCTTTAAATATTTCAGCTTTTTTTATAAAGAGTTGCATGGGACTTTGAATTGAATTACCTTCCTCCATGTTGATCGAATACGAAAAACTATGTGAGAAGAATAGTGACTTTCTGGAGTATTGAACGGAGTGAAATAAAGTGTGTATCTTAATTATGAGAACATTATTTGAAGTTTTGTTACCACATAAATTATTCACATATATTGGTACATTTTAGGAATATTACAACTGTAATTTTGATTAATTCACTGGAAATGATAGCAAGGTATGTTTTAAGAATCTTGCTAATTTTAGTAAACGTGGAAGGGTAATAAAATTAATAATAATCTAATCAATAATAAATAATTATTTAATTGATTGACATATCAGATTCTTATGATTTTAAGGCAGAACTAGGGAAACAAACACCATACATATCATGGCAGGACAATCACTTGGTATTAACTTAGTTTCTTGGCTCCTGCTTTTAGATGTATTTTTAAATACTACATTTACTAATAAGATAATTCTGAAAGTGATTGCTAGTATCATAACTCATTAAAGTTATTTCAACATCCAGAGAATTTGAAAAAGCAAAGGCTTCGTTTTGGTCAAACCCTGGTCATGCATTATCCAGTCCTGCTGGGCCTAGATTTTCGAAGCTCTCTTAGCGCTAAGATAGTCGGAAGTGCCATGCATTAACATTAACTTACGACTATCTTAACTCTAAAAGAGCTTCGAAAATCTAGGCCCTGGAACAGAATACCTTACAAAAATCTCAGTTGACGTTTCATGTAACGGAATAAATATTGAAACATATATTTAACCCATATTTGATGTAATTCTTCTGATAAATCATCAGTTTTTTAGGAGGTTATCAATATTTGAAGACTGAGCCAAAGCTAGTGTTTATTAAGACGATGGATTTTGACAAATTGTTCAGAGGTTTGTTGATGGTTATTTGGAAAATGAGCTTCATATTAAATTGCACACTGGTTTGTAGGAGGTGAATGCTTCAGGATATTTTCATGTCTGTTTTCCTAAACCTTTGTTATGACTTTTAACAAATTTTAAATCAACTTTACTATAATTTTTATGACACCAGTAAGTATCTCAGAAAAGGAAATAGATCAAAATCAGTGTTATGTCCTCTAGGGATATGGTCTCAGATCTAATAAAACAAAGATTATCATTGTTTAATTAAGAAGCAATAATGTCAATATGTAATTGTATTGAGAAAAAGCTTTGAACATAGGATATATTCTTTGCACCTTATTTACACTAGTAGTTAGCAGTTAAACATCTCTGATGAAAAAACAATAGATCTACATTTGTATTTTGTGTAAAATTCTATTTCAATGCTAGTTAATTGTTCGGATAACTGTGGATCCTCTGTTCCAAGATTTTGCATCACATCTTTCCTATTTCTGGAAGATGGCTCAGCTAGTGTACAGGTGCAGACTGTATCTTGGATTTTTTGTGTGTTCTGGTACTGTGACATACATGTACATAAACGCTGGCAGTTCATGAAGTCCAGTATTGTGGAAGTTTGTATGTAAATTAGGATTAAACAACAAAGTACATATAGAAAAGTAAAATGGAAATGATTAAAAAAATGATTTCCTTATATTCAGTGTCATTTTATCATGGTGTACAGATTTTGAAGAGAGAAACTTTACTGAGAATTGCTGCAGATCAGCTGTTGAATATTTGCTTCTGGGTATGTCCAGATCTAGATACATCCATGGAAACATACTGTTTACAAGCCCAATTAGTTTTCCAGATTTCCAAATATGATTGATTTGTTTACATAAATTATATACAGACAAATAAAGTGCATGAAGTAGTACACGGGAAATATTTTCTGCTTTTAATTTACCATTCTCTTAATTCATTAAAAGACAGAAACCCATGTTTTCAGATTATTGAACTAAATTTGAACAACGCCAACGGATAAGTAAAGGCAATGTTGATAATCTATTTATAGATATCAAAACGATCTGCAACATGAACATGTGGTTGTGTTCACGAGTAAAATTATAAAATTATAAACTCAAACAACAAAATTTCAGTTACCCTTCCCCTGCTAATATCTGTGACGGGAGGTGAATTGCCAGATAGATTAATTGATTCGAAAGAAATTACTCTTCCTACAGTCTCGGCAGCTAGTCGAGACGATTTTTCATCGGGCATGTAACTCATTTTCAGTCGCCAGTTGCAATCTGCCAGCTATAATATAATAAAAATCACATACGTATAACTTGCCTCTTTAAATAACATTCACAAACGACGGATACCAAAGTATCACAAGCAGAATTCATCAACAACGTTCGCAATCACGTAACGTTTCGCCGGCGGTGACGCCATTGTGATTTGTCAGTGGTTGTCCCCCCTAACGTCAAAAACGAAGTGGGCGGGGCTTATCGGCCGGGATTGGATCGGTCTATTCGTTGTACAGTAGGAGACACAACTTAGAACTAGGAGGACGGTGTGGCAGCAGGTAGAAGGCGAAATTTTCGCAAAGAAGACATAATCTGCAATTATTTTAACATGATTGACAATTAAGAAGATGATGAAGATAAAACTCTCAGTTTTGAAAGAAACTACGAAACGGTTGTGTACCTAAAGTGCATTGTTAACTGTTGTGCACCTAAAGTGCATTGTTAACTGTTGTGCACCTAAAGTGCATTGTTAACTGTTGTGCACCTAAAGTGCATTGTTAACTGTTGTGTACCTAAAGTGCATTGTTAACTGTTGTGCACCTAAAGTGCATTGTTAACTGTTGTGCACCTAAAGTGCATTGTTAACTGTTGTGCACCTAAAGTGCATTGTTAACTGTTGTGCACCTAAAGTGCATTGTTAACTGTTGTGCACCTAAAGTGCATTGTTAACTGTTGTGCACCTAAAGTGTTAACTGTGTATTCAATAATTCAGTTCTTATTTTATTGCATGAAAGCCAAACTTTCGTTGAAGTTGGTGTAATGACTTTCTGTAAACTAGCAACAGCCACACGACAATAACGTATTTAGCAATATCTGTGCATTGTATTTTCTTGTCTGGAAGCACGACCTCTGCATCTCCACTGGTGAAGTGCACGCCACATGTTTTAACCTACCAACACTGCCCAGTCTCTGCACCTCGGCAACCGTGGCTTGTACATAGGGGAGACTTGCTCGGTCTGACAGTCTCACGGGCCGACCCCTCCCTATTATCTGTAAATAGAAGGTGTATTTAAACAAGCTGAAGCTTACAAAACAAGTTATTGATTGTAAGACAGAATGTAGAAGCACTATGAGCGTATTGTCCCACGACCCTCGGTTTGGTCTGCAGATGATTACTGTGTCGTATATCAGGGCCTATCAGTCGCTGGTTTACCCACGGTTATCTTCGACTAGAAAGTCATCAGTATTGACCCTCGGACACTCACCACTAACTTTCAATTGTTTGATATCATGATGTGCTTTTCATGACGCTAGCCAGCAATCTGAAGCTTTGCAGAGCTTGTACATGATTATAAATGTACTGATATTTTATGTCGGTATTTACAACTTGCCGGATTGGACAGCTATTGGTTTTGACAGTTTCCGCTGTATGTTACGGTTGTGTAGACAGTCATGCAACTTATGTAACAGTACAGTTAAATGGCGCTATAATCATTGCAGGTTCATAATTAACTCGCTCACCTGATCAATCTCCTCCTGACATCGATCCTGCTCATCAGGGTTCCGCACCATGTACAGAAGGAACCAGTCCAGGGTGGCGGAGAATGTCCCCACAGATCCCACCAACACGTCCATTAGGATAGGAACAGACTCCCCTGGAATTATGACGACAAACTGTACTACTTGACACATCCTAGAGCCATGAGGACAGACAATACTCCCCTAGAAACATGGCGACAAACTGTACTACTTGACACATCCTAGAGCCATGACAACAGAACATAATCCCCTAGAAACATGACGACAAACTGTACTACTTGACACATCCTAGAGGCATGACAACAGAACATACTCCCTACAAACATGAAGACAAACTGTACTACTTGGCACATCCTAGAGCCATGACAACAGAACATAATCCCCTAGAAACATGACGACAAACTGTACTACTTGACACATCCTAGAGCCATGACAACAGAACATACTCCCTACAAACATGAAGGCAAACTGTACTACTTGGCACATCCTAGAGCCATGACAACAGAACATACTCCCTACAAACATGAAGACAAACTGTACTACTTGGCACATCCTAGAGCCATGACAACAGAACATAATCCCCTAGAAACATGACGACAAACTGTACTACTTGACACATCCTAGAGCCATGACAACAGAACATACTCCCTACAAACATGAAGACAAACTGTACTACTTGGCACATCCTAGAGCCATGACAACAGAACATACTCCCTACAAACATGAAGACAAACTGTACTACTTGGCACATCCTAGAGCCATGACAACAGAACATAATCCCCTAGAAACATGACGTCAAACTGTACTACTTGACACATCCTAGAGCCATGACAACAGAACATACTCCCTACAAACATGAAGACAAACTGTAGTACTTGGCACATCCTAGAGCCATGGCAACAGAACATAATCCCCTAGAAACATGACGTCAAACTGTACTACTTGACACATCCTAGAGCCATGACAACAGAACATACTCCCTACAAACATGAAGACAAACTGTACTACTTGGCACATCCTAGAGCCATTACAACAGAACATAATCCCCTAGAAACATGACGTCAAACTGTACTACTTGACACATCCTAGAGCCATGACAACAGAACATAATCCCCTAGAAACATGACGTCAAACTGTACTACTTGACACATCCTAAAGGCATGAGGACAGACAATACTCCCCTAGAAACATGACGACAAACTGTACTACTTGACACATCTTTGAGGCATGACAAGTTTGTTCTGTCGTCATGTTTCTAGGGAAGTATATTCTGTCGTCATGGCTCTAGGGTGTGTCAAGTAGTACAGTTTGTCGTCATGTTTCTAATGGAGTATGTTCTTTTGTCATGCCTCTAGGATGTGTCAAGTAGTACAGTTTGTCGTCATGTTTCTAGGGGAGTATTGTCTGTCCTCATGCCTGAAGGTTGTGCCAAGTATTACAGTTTGTCGTCATTGTTCTAGGATGTGTCAAGTAGTACAGTTTGTCGTCATGTTTCTGGGGGAGTGTGCTCTGTCGTCATGGCTCTAGGGTGTGTCAAGTAGTACAGTTTGTTGGCATGTTTCTAAGGGAGTATTGTCTGTCCTCAAGCTTCTAGGATGTGCCAAGTAGTACAGTTTGTCGTCATGTTTCTAGGGGAGTATGTTCCGTTGTCATGCCTCTAGGGTGTGTCAAGTACTACAGTTTGTCGTCATGTTTCTAGGGGATTACGTTCTGTTGTCATGGCTCTAAGATGTGTCAAGTAGTACAGTTTGTCGCCATGTTTCTAAGGGAGTATGTTCTGTTGTCATGGCTCTAGGATGTGTCAAGTACTACAGTTTGTCGTCATGTTTCTAGGGGAGTATGTTCTGGTGTCATAGCTCTAAGATGTGTCAAGTAGTACAGTTTGTCGCCATGTTTCTAGGGGAGTATGTTCTGTTGTCATGCCTCTAGGATGTGTCAAGTACTACAGTTTGTCGTCATGTTTCTAGGGGAGTATGTTCTGTTGTCATGCCTCTAGGATGTGTCAAGTAGGACATTTTGTTTCTAGGAGAGTATCCTCTGTCGTCATGTTTCTAGGAGAGTATCCTCTGTCGCCATGTTTCTAGGGGAGTACGTTCTGTTGTCATGGCCCTAGGATGTGTCAAGTAGTACAGTTTGTCGCCATGGTTCTAGGATGTGTCAAGTATTACAGTTTGTCTTCATGTTTCTAGGGGAGTATGTTCTGTTGTCATGGCTCTAGGATGTGTCAAGTAGTACAGTTTGTCGTCATGTTTCTAGGGGAGTATGTTCTGTTGTCATGCCTGTAGGATGTGTCAAGTAGTACAGTTGACATGACGACAGAACATCCTCCCTTAGAAATATGACGACAGAACAAACTCCCCTAGAAACATGACGAGTCAAGTCAAAGATATTAATTGTACTTAAGGCCTCCGGCCCATATACAAGTAATACAAGTATATATACAGCATATGTTACAGATATTTCACAAAGAAATTACAGTTCAGATAAGATGTTGCTTCTAAGGAAAGCAGCATGTTTTACATAAAGGGCAAGATAACGTATTACATTTTTGGAGGATAGAATGGAAGCAAAGGCAGATGAAGGATATTTTAACAGGTTATTATTTGGGAATTTATGTTTTTCTTAAATCAGCATAATGTGGGCATACAAAAGCGAAGTGAATTTCATCTTCTGTAGCTGAGTTACATAATGGACATATCCTTAAACGTCTCTCTATTGAAAATCGTTTGCTCTTATTTACTGATGAGCCTAACAAGCCCTATCGAAAATTGACAAGTGTGCGTCTGATATTTCTAGATGTCAATACAGATATATATAGTTCTGGTTGGATTAAGCTCTTATGTGATCTAAACAACTGGTATCTTGAACTATTGTCTAGACAGGAATGCCATTCTTGATAATACATGCTAACAGATTGTTCTCGATATTGCTTAAGAAAATGATTCATATTACCAACTGTTTGATTTAGCCACAGAAATCCAAAGCCATGAGAAAATAAAAGAGTTCTAATATGAGACGTGCATGTTGTCTTACCCCTATCATCTAAATATACAAGCATGTTATAGCTAGTTTGGGGATTCTTTGTTCGTGCATCACAAGGATCTTTAACCAATATTTTAAACATCTGATTTGTGAATTTATATACTGAACCGCAAAAGAAACGCAAGTTACTATTTTCAAAACATACGTTCCAAATGCATTCCTTTTAGGACAACAAAGTATACCATTATAGAACCAGGCATTCGAAGATGGCTTTGCCGTTGTTGCCGCTGATTCTTGACCATATCACCCAAACGCAATCATTTTCATGTTTTTCGTGTTTTTTGCATGAAGTTTTTGTGTTTCACACAAAAATGCGTGTATTTCACTCCAGTTTGAAGCTTTATAAGGCAGGTCATTCAAAAAACACCATAGAATACAAAATTGACTGTGACAACGCGGAGAAAACATGCCACGTCTAACTGAACAGCAACGATGAATCGCCGTTGGAATGTTGCAGACCGGATCCACACCAACTAAAGTGGCCAGGCACTTCAGATGTCACGTGACAACAATCACAAGACTATCCGCAAGGTATCGTCAAACCGGTAATGTTCCAGACCGACCACGTTCAGGACGTCCCAGGGTAACAACGCCAGCGCAAGATCGTCACATCCGGGTTACTCATCTGCGTAACCGACAGCAACGAGCAACACAGACAGCTGCAACCATTCAAGGGCCACAACGTCACATCTCTGCAGACACTGTTCGTCGTCGTCTGAGGGCAGCAGGGATCAGATGTCGCCGTCCTTACGTCGGACCGATTCTGACGCAACGTCACCGCCAAAATCATTTACAGTGGGCCCAACAACACCAGCGTTGGCGACGTCAACAATGGCAACAAGTGTTGTTTTTTGATGAGTCCAGATTCAACTTGTCCCACGCCGATGGCCGATTACGTGTATGGAGACGACGTAATGAACGTTACGCCAGCTGTTGTGTTGTGGAAGCTAACCGCTGGGGAGGTGGAAGACTCATGGTATGGGGTGGCTTCAGCTACCACCACAGAACACGTTTACACGTGTTTTGTCAACGTGTGACTGCTGTAGTCTACAGAGACCAGGTCTTTCAACACCACGTTGTACCGTTCTTCCAGGCCCAACCTCAGCTCCAGACGTTCCAGCAGGACAATGCTCGTTCTCACACTGCACGGGTCTCTATGGACTTCCTCTGAGGGAACAACATTGCTGTACTGCCCTGGCCCTCTCTGTCCCCGGATATGGCACCAATCGAGCATGTGTGGGATGAAATTGGTAGACGGATACAGACAGCTGCTCAACCTCAAAACCTTAGAGATTTGGAAGCAATATTGGTCAGGGAATGGAATCAAATTCCCCAAGCCTTCTTTCAGACACTTGTTGACTCGATGAGAGGTCGTTGTGCTGCCTGCATTGCTGCCAGCCAATGGTGGTCACACGCGCTACTGATTGACACACTGTTTCGTGACATTTTTGGTGTGTGAGGGTGGAGTGATAACATATGCGTTTACAGTAAACTTGAGTGTTGTTTTCACCAGAGACCACGACTCATTTCTTCAACAATCACTTGTCTGTTGTTTTTTCGTAGTGTTAAGATTGTTTGTTCCACAGATTCAGAAATATTGATATTTCTAAATCAACTTGCGTTTCTTTTGCGGTTCAGTATATATATCGGATATCTACCGCATTCTCCATAAACCATACAAGTTGTGCTGCTTGAGCTCCATCTAAAGATCTTTTACATGCTAAAAGGTGTAGTTTCTCTAGACATTCATGACGTTGAAACCCCCAAATTTCAGACCCATAAAGCATAATCGGTTGGATTTGTGCATCAAACAATTTAAAATATATTTTCAGGGTTAAGATTCCAAAATTCTGGGAAACTGACATAACATTAATAAGAGCCTTCTTAGCACGTGATTTCAGGTTTATAACACTCTTTTTAAAGTTCATGGTATGGGAAAACAATAGTCCGAGATAAGTATACTGATTAACAATAGATAAATTTTTGCCACTCAAAAACCATTTTTCTTTAGAGGCGACAGGCCCCCCTCTTCTAAAGATAAATATGTTTGTTTTTTCAAAATTAACAAGTAATTTCCATTCATTTGTATAAAGTTCCAAAATATTCAGTTGGTTTTGTAGACCGACTATAGTATCTGACACTAAGATTACATCATCGGCAAAAAAGGAGCATCGGCATAAAAAATTCAATCATATCTGGAAACGTTTGCACACATTGTTTACCTGAATTAGAAATGTCATAATACAGTTCGCTTATAAAGAAGGTAAACAATACAGGGCTTAAAATACACCCTTGCCGAACTCCCATGGGACAGTCGAAAAAATCGGTGACATCATCACCACAACGAACACATGATTTAATATTCAAGTACATAGATTTTAAAAAAGAATACATTTTCCCTTGTAAACCAGACTTTCGCAAGCAGTGCCATAATTTACAACGATCCATAGAGTCACAAGCTTTCTTAAAGTCAACAAATGCTACATAAAGTTTGTGTTTATTACGCGATAGACACTTTTGTATTATTGCATATAGTGTAAAGATATGGTCAGTAGTTGAATAATCTTTTCTAAAAGTCGCCAGACATTCAGGAATTAAGTTTCTAAGATTTTGAGAAATCCAGTTTGAGATTCTGTTGTTTAAAACAGTTGTAAATATTTTCCCAATAACACTCATTAAAGATATGCCTCTGCAATTATCTGGATTGTCTTGAGACCCCTTTTTATGTATAGGAATGATAATTGAACAAGACCAGCTTGCTGGAAACGAACCGCTTTCAAATACAGTATTAAAACACTTATGGAGGACGGGCATTAACTCGAATTGAGAACATTTAATCATTTCGATAATAATATTGTCGGGACCAGCTGCTTTTCCGCTCTTTAAGTTCTTTATAGCATTCTTTAGCTCATCTACTGAAATTTGTGTTTCCAAAATCATTTGATCAACAGTGTCATAGTCATTCGAAGAGATAATATCATCATCGAAGGAATAACCATCGCTTTGAAAAACAGCATCATCAGAAAAAACTGTCTTGAAATGTGTCATCCATTCACATTTTGCAATATTACAGTTAGGATTTGATCTCTTTCTAAATGAACGAATTTGTTTCCAGAACATAGCCAGATTGTGGATAGAATCATTCAATCTGTTCAATCTTTGATTACGCAGGTTAGATTTGAATTTTCTACATGAAGCTTTGTATTTGTTTCTCATTTTACAAAAATAATTTCTGTTGCTCTCCGAGCGTCTACACCGAAAACTTTCTAAGTGCTTTGCGCGCGTCTCGTCGCGCAGATTTACACTCGTCACTTAAGGGTGTTTTATAGTTTTGCTTAAACGGCTTAGTCTTTTTCTTAATACAATCCGCTGAATCTAATATGACATGGACAAACTCATCTAAAGCTCCGTTTAGATCGAACTCAAGTTTCGGTAAGAACATACTCCTCTATAGACCAGACGACAGAACATAGTCCCGTAGAAACTTGACGACAGAACATACTCCCCTAGAAACATGACGACAGGACATACTCCCCTAGAAACATGACGACAGACCATACACCCCTAGAAACATGATGACAGACCATACAACCCAAGAGACATAATGACAGAACATACACCCCTAGAAACATGACGACAGAACATACTAATCTAGAAACATGAAGACAGAACATACTCCCCTAGAAACATGACGTCAGAACATACTCCCCTAGAAACATGATGACAGAACATACCCCCCTAGAAACATGATGACAGAACATACTAACCTAGAAACATGACAACAGACCATACACCCCTAGAAACATGACAACAGACCATACACCCCTAGAAACATGATGACAGAACATACTCCCCTAGAGACATGACGACAGAACATACACCCCTAGAAACATAATGACAGAACATACACCCCTAGAAACATGACGACAGAACATACACCCCTAGAAACATGATGACAGAACATACTCCCCTAGAGACCAGACGACAGAACATACTCCCCTAGAAACATGACAACAGACCATACACCCCTAGAAACATGACGTCAGAACATACTCCCCTAGAAACATGATGACAGAACAAACCCCGCTAGAAACATGACGACAGAACATACTAACCTAGAAACATGATGACGGAACATACTCCCCTATAGACCAGACGACAGAACATAGTCCCGTAGAAACATGACGACAGAACATACTCCCCTAGAGACATGACGACAGGACATACTCCCCTAGAGACCAGACGACAGAACATAATCCCCTAGAAACATTACGACGGAACATACACCCCTAGAAACATAATGACAGAACATACACCCCTAGAGACCAGACGACAGAACATACTCCCCTAGAGACCAGACAACAGAACATACTCCCCTAGAAACATGATGACAGAACATACTCCCCTAGAGACCAGACGACAGAACATACCCCCCTAGAAACATGACGTCAGAACATACTAACCTAGAAACATGATGACGGAACATACTCCCCTATAGACCAGACGACAGAACATAGTCCCGTAGAAACATGACGACAGAACATACTCCCCTAGAAACATGACGACAGGACATACTCCCCTAGAAACATGACGACAGGACATACTCCCCTAGAGACCAGACAACAGAACATAATCCCCTAGAAACATGACGACGGAACATACTGCCCTAGAAACATGACGACGGAACATACTCCCCTAGAGACCTGACGACAGAACATACACTGCTTGAAAAATGATGACAGAACATACTCCCCTAGAAACATGACGACAGAGCATACTCCCCTAGAGACCTGACGACAGAACATACACCCCTTGAAAAATGATGACAGAACATACTCCCCTAAGTACAATATAAAACTTTATGGATAAACAACTTCTTGCATTTCCATACAAATTATGTCAAGCAGGAATCTGTATGACACTACACGTCAAGGTAAACATAACTGTATGACACTACATGTCACTGTAAACATGTCTGTGTGACACTTTATGGCAACAGTAAACAAACCTGTGCGACACTATATGTCAACAGTAAATAAATGTGTGTGACAGGACATGTCAACTGTAACCATATCTATGTGACATTACACGTGAACAGTAAACAAATCTGTGTGACACTAAATATCACTGTAAACATAGCTTTGACACTATATGTCAACTGTCAGCATGTCAAAAGTAAACAAATCTGGGTGACAACATGCCAACAGCCAACATATCTAGTTGACACCATATGTCAACAGCGGAGCAGGTTGGCCTACATGACTCCTGCAATAAGCAACCTGTTAAACACACATGATGAGAATCCGGGACACACTTACTATAAGGCAGTGAATTCTCCTGTTTCTGAATGACAATCGTGTCAAGGAAATCTCGGACATCCGATGGGTCGAATGTTGACTCGCGTGCCTTGACGTCAGCCTTGACCAAAGCGAACACATTACTGAATCCCCGCAAAAACTGCATCACGTTCTGAAGTAAACAAAACCAGTAATCTGCCTTTGGACAAAACATACTGACGTACTTGATTAGCATTTCTAGCTGACATACTTCAAACACAACTACGCTATAGAAGATAGGAGTGAAGTACCTGCTTCCTGGGCAGCAGAGTTTAATTATTAAAACTGTGATGAAATAGAAACTTCGAAATCGACCTGATCTACCGGATATATACCGATGTAGACAGAAACAGTGGTTTACTGGAGTACTTCGGTAACCCGTCACTGATCTACCAGGTGTAGACAGAAACAATGGTTTACTGGAGTACTTCGGTAACCCGTCACTGATCTACCAGGTGTAGACAGAAACAATGGTTTACTGGAGTACTTCGGTAACCCGTCACTGATCTACCAGGTGTAGACAGAAACAATGGTTTACTGGAGTACTTCGGTAACCCGTCACTGATCTACCAGGTGTAGACAGAAACAATGGTTTACTGGAGTACTTCGGTAACCCGTCACTGATCTACCAGGTGTAGACAGAAACAGTGGTTTACTGGAGTACTTCGGTAACCCGTCACTGATCTACCAGGTGTAGACAGAAACAGTGGTTTACTGGAGTACTTCGGTAACCCGTCACTGATCTACCAGGTGTAGACAGAAACAGTGGTTTACTGGAGTACTTCGGTAACCCGTCACTGATCTACCAGGTGTAGACAGAAACAATGGTTTACTGGAGTACTTCGGTAACCCGTCACTGATCTACCAGGTGTAGACAGAAACAGTGGTTTACTGGAGTACTTCGGTAACCCGTCACTGATCTACCAGGTGTAGACAGAAACAGTGGTTTACTGGAGTACTTCGGTAACCCGTCACTGATCTACCAGGTGTAGACAGAAACAGTGGTTTACTGGAGTACTTCGGTAACCCGTCACTGATCTACCAGGTGTAGACAGAAACAGTGGTTTACTGGAGTACTTCGGTAACCGTCACTGATCTACCAGGTGTAGACAGAAACAGTGGTTTACTGGAGTACTTCGGTAACCCGTCACTGATCTACCAGGTGTAGACAGAAACAGTGGTTTACTGGAGTACTGGTAACCCGTCACTGATCTACAGGTGTAGACAGAAACTGGGTTTACTGGAGTACTTCGGTAACCCGTCACTGATCTACCAGGTGTAGACAGAAACAGTGGTTTACTGGAGTACTTCGGTAACCCGTCACTGATCTACCAGGTGTAGACAGAAACAGTGGTTTACTGGAGTACTTCGGTAACCCGTCACTGATCTACCAGGTGTAGACAGAAACAGTGGTTTACTGGAGTGGTTTCTACTGGACAGAAACAGTGGTTTACTGGAGTACTTCGGTAACCCGTCACTGATCTACCAGGTGTAGACAGAAACAGTGGTTTACTGGAGTACTTCGGTAACCCGTCACTGATCTACCAGGTGTAGACAGAAACAGTGGTTTACTGGAGTACTTCGGTAACCCGTCACTGATCTACCAGGTGTAGACAGTGGTTTACTGGAGTGGTTTCACTGATCTACCAGGTGTAGTGGTTTACTGGAGTACTAACCCGTCACTGATCTACCAGGTGTAGACAGAAACAGTGGTTTACTGGAGTACTTCGGTAACCCGTCACTGATCTACCAGGTGTAGACAGAAACAGGTTTACTGGACAACTTCGGTAACCCGTCGCTGATCTACCAGGTGTAGACAGAAACAGTGGTTTACTGGGTACTTCGGTAACCCGTCACTGATCTACCAGGTGTAGACAGAAACAGTGGTTTACTGGAGTACTTCGGTAACCCGTCACTGATCTACCAGGTGTAGACAGAAACAGTGGTTTACTGGAGTACTTCGGTAACCCGTCACTGATCTACCAGGTGTAGACAGAAACAGTGGTTTACTGGAGTACTTCGGTAACCCGTCACTGATCTACCAGGTGTAGACAGAAACAGTGGTTTACTGGAGTACTTCGGTAACCCGTCACTGATCTACCAGGTGTAGACAGAAACAGTGGTTTACTGGAGTACTTCGGTAACCCGTCACTGATCTACCAGGTGTAGACAGAAACAGTGGTTTACTGGAGTACTTCTACCAGGTAACCCGTCACTGATCTACCCGTCACTGATCTAGGTGTAGACAGAAACAGTGGTTTACTGGAGTACTTCGGTAACCCGTCACTGATCTACCAGGTGTAGACAGAAACAGTGGTTTACTGGAGTACTTCGGTAACCCGTCACTGATCTACCGGGTGTAGACAGAAACAGTGGTTTACTGGAGTACTTCGGTAACCCGTCACTGATCTACCAGGTGTAGACAGAAACAGTGGTTTACTGGAGTACTTCGGTAACCCGTCGCTGATCTACCAGGTGTAGACAGAAACAGTGGTTTACTGGAGTACTTCGGTAACCCGTCACTGATCTACCAGGTGTTTAGACAGAGAAACAATGGTTTACTGGAGTACTTCGGTAACCCGTCACTGATCTACCAGGTGTAGACAGAAACAGTGGTTTACTGGAGTACTTCGGTAACCCGTCACTGATCTACCAGGTGTAGACAGAAACAATGGTTTACTGGAGTACTTCGGTAACCTGTCACTGATCTACCAGGTGTAGACAGAAACAGTGGTTTACTGGAGTACTTCGGGTAACCCGTCACTGATCTACCAGGTGTAGACAGAAACAGTGGTTTACTGGAGTACTTCGTCGCTACTCTCAAAGAATTAATTTTAATTCCGATGTCACATATGCGAGAGGTTGGGAGAATCAAGGACAGTCAGGGTGGACAGAAATAGATGAAATGTTTTCCACAAGTAGCGTTCCTGGAACCGTCTCTTTACAAATACCCAGTCCATGTTCTACTATCAGTCCATGTTCTACTATCAGTCCATGTTCTACTATCAGTCCATGTTCTACTATCAGTCCATGTTCTACTATCAGTCCATGTTCTACTATCAGTCCATGTTCTACTGTCAGTCCATGTTCTACTATCAGTCCATGTTCTACTGTCAGTCCATGTTCTACTGTCAGTCCATGTTCTACTATCAGTCCATGTTCTACTATCAGTCCAGGCCCAGGTATTCAGTGGACATTGCTTGTAGGCTGTTACCTTGTTGACAAACTTACCATTTTATTTAAGATGATTCTCAAAATCTTCCACAGATCTACAAACGTGGGATGGTACTCTGTGTGTATTAGGGTAAAAAAGACAAAACTTTTGCAGCATTACTATGATGTCATATTTTCTCAAATACGCGATTTTTCACTGTGCGCAACACACAGAAAAGAATTTGCAAGAGATGTTTTCAAAAGCAGTTTTGTTAATTGTTGTCAGAACTAGCGGTCGCGCTTTAAATGCCTTCTCTGTGAATTCATGTTGGAACTAGCGATCCAGCTTTAGATGTCCTCTCTGTGAATTCATGTTAGAACGTGGAGTGCCTGTGGTCGTATATTCGAATGAGAACTCGCCAGATGATTGGTTGCATTAGCAGTGGTTATCGTTGATTCTGTCCTTCCAGTCACAGTAGTGTTATATCGTTGATTCTGTCCTTCCAGTCACAGTAGTGTTATATCGTTGATTCTGTCCTTCCAGTCACAATAGTGTTATATCGTTGATTCTGTCCTTCCAGTCACAGTAGTGTTATATCGTTGATTCTGTCCTTCCAGTCACAGTAGTGTTATATGGTTGATTCTGTCCTTCCAGTCACAATAGTGTTATATCGTTGATTCTGTCCTTCCAGTCACAGTAGTGTTATATGGTTGATTCTGTCCTTCCAGTCACAATAGTGTTATATCGTTGATTCTGTCCTTCCAGTCACAGTAGTGTTATATCGTTGATTCTGTCCTTCCAGTCACAGTAGTGTTATATCGTTGTGAATTGTGGGTCGCATGTATACACTTGTGCGATTCAAATTCACTCACTCACACTCACTCACACACACACACTCACACACACATATTGATATATACTAGGCACATAAAGAAACTGTGCATACAAAAATTTAAAATCTAAATTGATCAAACCTGTCTAGACACATAAGGATTTCAACTCAGAGTTTAGTGACATGTATCCAACATGCATGAACGTGCCACGTTCACGTCAGTGGGTTCGTCCTTGAGACGTGCCATACGTTGTTGCACGTGCATTCCGGGAAAGAGAAACAGAGCAAATGAATGCCACACAATACTGTCACTTTGGAAAGGTCAACCCCTGTCCTTGCGATCGCTCAAATAATTAAACGGTTATTGAAACACAAACCATGCCAAGGATCACGTCTGCACAACGTCATGAGGCCATTGGGGTGGTCCGTGGGGGAATGTCTCAACGACAAGTGGCTGCATATTTCCACTGCCACCGGAACATTATTTCTGCACTGGTGAGACGCTACCAGAACACAAATGATGTCATCGATCGGCCACGTTCTGGATGTCCACGTGTAACAACGCCAAGACAGGACACACGGATAAGGGGGACCCATCTTCGCCACAGGTTTCAGACTGCAGTGATGACTGCCCGAACCATCCCAGGACTTCGTCGTATCTACCCCAAAGAACTTCGACAACGTTTACGTCATCACGGGATCAGACCACGACGTCCTGCCATATGGCCTATCCTGACACGTCATCGACAAGCTCGTCGAATGTGGTGCCGAAATCATGTCCGCAGACCCTTGTTGTGGTGGAGAAATGTTGTTTTTACAGATGAGACCAGATTTAACATTTCCCATAGTGATGGACGTCAACGTGCCTATAGACGCGTGGGAGAACGTTATGCACAATGCCCGCCCTCATACGGCAAGGGTTGCTATGGATATCTTGCAACACCACAACGTTGACTTACTGCTTTGGCCTGTAAATTCACCGGATCTCTCCCCGATAGAGCATGTTTGGGACGAGATGGATCGACGTCTACGCCGTCTTCCTCATCCGCCAGATAACGTCTTTCACCTTGCAACAGAACTTGAGAGATTCCGACGTGACATCCCACAAGCCTTCCTTGCACGTTTGATAGGCTCTATGTGTCGTCGATGCACTGCTGTTCTCAATGCCGATGCTGGACATACCCGTTATTGAGCTTGTGACATGGTCGTTTGACCTCTGTCCCGCTTGTGGACTCGTGACATCATTGTGATTGACTTTTCAATTGAAATTATTCCGAAATTATTCCGACTGGGATAATATTTTGACAATGCAGTTTCTTTATGTGGCTAGTATATAGACGTAGGACGAACAGAACAGTCATCCATGTCACATTGTACAATTAAAGATATCACCCAGATAGCGTGCAGCGTCAGCCGGACAAACAGAACAGTCATCCTTGTCACACTGTACAATTAAAGATATCACCCAGATAGCGTGCAGCGTCAGCCGGACAAACAGAACAGTCATCCTTGTCACACTGTACAATTAAAGATATCACCCAGATAGCGTGCAGCGTCAGCCGGACAAACAGAACAGTCATCCTTGTCACACTGTACAATTAAAGATATCATCCAGATAGCGTGCAGCGTCAGCCGGAAAAACAGAACGGTCATCCTTGTCACACTGTACAATTAAAGATATCACCCAGATAGCGTGCAGCGTCAGCCGGACAAACAGAACAGTCATCCTTGTCACACTGTACAATTAAAGATATCACCCAGATAGCGTGCAGCGTCAGCCGGACAAACAGAACGGTCATCCTTGTCACACTGTACAATTAAAGATATCACCCAGATAGCGTGCAGCGTCAGCCGGACAAACAGAACAGTCATACTTGTCACACTGTACAATTAAAGATATCACCCAGATAGCGTGCAGTGTCAGCCGGACAAACAGAACAGTCATCCTTGTCACACTGTACAATTAAAGATATCACCCAGATAGCGTGCAGCGTCAGCCGGACAAACAGAACAGTCATCCTTGTCACACTGTACAATTAAAGATATCACCCAGATAGCGTGCAGCGTCAGCCGGACAAACAGAACGGTCATCCTTGTCACACTGTACAATTAAAGATATCATCCAGATAGCGTGCAGCGTCAGCCGGACAAACAGAACGGTCATCCTTGTCACACTGTACAATTAAAGATATCATCCAGATAGCGTGCAGCGTCAACAGGGCGAACAGAACAGTCATCCTTGTCACACTGTACAATTAAAGATATCATCCAGATAGCGTGCAGCGCCAACAGGGCAAACAGAACAGTCATCCATGTTTAACTGTCTTGTAATATTCAAGCACAAACGTAATACTCCCTTCACACTTGAGGTGGAATGAGACGGAATGCTGTCGGAATGAAACTCCTTGAGATTCCTGGAAATTCGAACTGCATTCTAAAACCTCTTACTGCATTCCGAATGCATTCCAACTATTCGGGTCAGTTCTTGTAACATGCGTTAATGTTATGAACATGTTCAAAATTTCGACGTACATTGGAAGTGGAAAAATATCGAAGGGCATTTGAAGTGCAATCTAACTGCATTTTAAGTATTCTGAACGTATTCGAGGGAGGAAAGGAAAAGGCAAGCCACTTCAAATCATGTCAGAATGTCCCGAATGCGCCTCTAATGAGTCGGAATGTGTTTCGATTTCTGCTGGAATTCAAATGGAATATTCCTCAAATGTATCGGAATATTTCAATTGCATTTGGATACAGCTCGAATGTACCTCGAATGCAGGCTGAGCGTCCTGAATGCTCTTCAAGTGAGCGTTGACGTCATCAGAACACCGCCGAGTCGCATAAAAACGTGTCCATCCGTCTGGAAGCCTTTCTAATAAAGTGAGTGAATTCAGTTTTACGCCGCACTCAGCAATATTCCAGCTATTCCAGAGGGCTGTAAATAATTGAGTGTGGACCAGACAAACCAGTGATCAACAGCAAGAGCATCGACCTACGCAATTGGGATACGATGACATGTGTCAACCAAGTCAGCGAGCCTGACGAGTGGCTCCCGTTAGTCGCCTCTTACAACAAGCCTGTGTTACTGAAACCATATAACCCGAGTCTTCACGGGTACCGAGGCTGGTGTCAGGATTTGCATGGTGCTGACTCACCCAGAAGCTTATTTGGGCGAATCGTGATTCGATCCTACAATCACAGATTCCTCAAGTAACAGGTCGCAACTCTGTAGGAGGAAAGCCCTAAGCACGGGTTACTGAAGACCAATTCTACCAAGGATCTTCACGGGAGACAAGCATTGGTTACTGAAGACCAATTCTACCCCGGATCTTCACGGGAGACAAGCATTGGTTACTGAAGACCAATTCTACCCCGGATCTTCAAGCATTGGTTACGGGAGACATCTTCACGGGAGACAAGCATTGGTTACTGAAGACCAGTTCTACACCGGATCTTCACGGGAGACAAGCATTGGTTACTGAAGACCAATTCTACCCCGGATCTTCACGGGAGACAAGCATTGGTTACTGAAGTCCAATTCTACCCCGGACCTTCACGGGAGACAAGCATTGGTTACTGAAGACCAATTCTACCCCGGATCTTCACGGGAGACAAGCATTGGTTACTGAAGTCCAATTCTACCCCGGATCTTCACGGGAGACAAGCATTGGTTACTGAAGACCAATTCTACCCCCGAATCATCACGGGAGACAAGCATGGGTTTAACTCTCACTCACCTCTCTGACGGATCGCAGATGGCGGTAACCCTAACTCACTCACTCACTCACCTCTCTGACGGAAGGCAGATGGCGCAAACCCAGAAACGTCATAAACGGGAGTTTCCAGTTTTCAGCAAATGCAAACATCTGTACTAGTAGGTCCAACATAGACTTGAACTTGTCGTCTTTGTAGTCGAACCTGCAACCAGACACTGTTGATGAGGATGGTGGAGGATGTCCAGTCATTGTCACAGCTCTCACTCCGTGAACCCAAGTTTCGAGTTTATGTGCCAAACAAAGGTTTCCATTACGCTTCTTGATGAGAGAGGAAACTAATTAGAAACTAACACGTGTCAACTTACACTATTATTAGAAGTGTTCCACACACTAAAACATGTCAACTTACATCTATCAGAGGTGTTCTCCAAACTAACACGTGTCAACCTACATCCATTCGAGGTGTTCTACAAATTAACACGTGTCAACTTTCATCTATCAGAGATGTTCTACAAACTAACACATGTCAACCTACATCCATTCAAGGTGTTCTACAAATTAACACGTGTCAACTTGCATCTATCAGAGGTGTTCTACAAACTAACACATGTCAACTTACATCTAACAGAGGTTTTTTTTTGCAAACTAACACGTGTCAACTTACATCTAACAGAGGTTTTCTACACATAACACGTGTCAACTTCCATCTAACAGAGGTGTTCTATACATAACACGTGTCAACTTACATCTATCAGAGGTGTTCTACACATAACACGTGTCAACTTACATCTATCAGAGGTGTTCTACAAACTAACACATGTCAACTTACATCTAACAGAGGTTTTCTTCAAACTAACACGTGTCAACTTACATCTAACAGAGGCTTTCTTCAAACTAACACATGTCAACTTACACCTAACAGAGACTTTCTACAAACTAACACATGTCAACTTACATCTAACAGAGGTGTTCTACACATAACACGTTTCAACTTACATCTAACAGAGGTTTTCTACAAACTAACACGTTTCAACTTACATCTAACAGAGGTGTTCTCCACATAACACGTGTCAACTTACATCTAACAGAGGTTTTCTTCAAACTAACACATGTCAACTTACATCTAACAGAGGTTTTCTACAAACTAACACGTGTCAACTTTCATCTAACAGAGGTTTTCTTCAAACTAACACATGTCAACTTACATCTAACAGAGGTTTTCTTCAAACTAACACATGTCAACTTACATCTAACAGAGGTTTTCTTCAAACTAACACGTGTCAACTTACATCTAACAGAGGTTTTCTTCAAACTAACACGTGTCAACTTACACCTAACAGAGGTTTTCTTCAAACTAACACATGTCAACTTCCATCTAACAGAGGCTTTCTTCAAACTAACACATGTCAACTTACATCTAACAGAGGTTTTCTACAAACTAACACGTGTCAACTTACATCTAACAGAGGTGTTCTACACATAACACGTTTCAACTTACATCTAACAGAGGTTTTCTACAAACTAACATGTTTCAACTTACATCTATCAGAGGTGTTCTACACATAACACATGTCAACTTACATCTAACAGAGGTTTTCTACAGACTAACACATGTCAACTTACATCTAACAGAGGTTTTCTTCAAACTAACACATGTCAACTTTCATCTAACAGAGGTTTTCTTCAAACTAACACGTGTCAACTTACATCTAACAGAAGTTTTCTACAAACTAACACATGTCAACTTACATCTATTAGAGGTTTTCTTCAAACTAACACGTTTCAGTTTACATACATCAGAAGTGTTCTATACAAGAACACGTGCTACGTGGGTTTCTGTCGTACCTGTGTCCGAACACCAAGCTGCTTGTTACGTTGAGTGACGCCTGCCGGATGAACGTGCGTAGACAAATGGGGCTCCCTTCGTTGGCGGAGAGATACTCCAGGATGTGATTCATTTCCTCCGTCATGTTCGTGTCAAGTAATGATTTTCCCACTCCAAAGTCTCGGAGTCCTCGAAGAATGAGTCTCCTCCCATTTCTCCAAGGGGTTCCATGACTGAATATCACACCTGCATATAATATATACACCTGCATAGAGTTTAAACACATAATATTACACCTATACATCATATATACACCAGCACACAGAGTATAAACACATAATATCACATCTGCACATCATATACACACCTGCATAGTGTATAGACACATAATATCACACCTACACATCATATACACACCACCACAGAGTATAAACACATAATATTACACCTGCAAATCATATACACACCAGTATAGAGTATAAACAGATAATATCACACCTGCACATCATATACACACCTGCATAGAGTATAAGCACATTATATCACATCTGCACATCATATACACACCTGCATAGAGTATAAGCACATCATATCACACCTGCACATCATATACACACCTGCATAGAGTATAAGCACATGATATCACACCTGCACATCATTAACACACCTGCATAGAGTATAAACACATAATATTACACCTGCAAATCATATACACACCAGTATAGAGTATAAACAGATAATATCACACCTGCACATCATATACACACCTGCATAGAGTATAAGCACATGATATCACACCTGCACATCATATACAGACCTGCATAGACTATAAACGCATAATATCATACCTGCACATAAAATACACTCCTCCTCAATAGACACTACGATATCAGTGACCACACTAGGATATCAGTGTCTATACTAGGATATCAGTGACGCCACATATATATCAGTGTCTATACTAGGATATCAGTGACGACACTAGGATATCAGCGTCTATACTAGGATATCAGTGAAGATATAGGATATCAGTGACGACTCTTGGATATCAGTGACGACACTATGATATCAGTGACGACAATAGGATATAAGTGACCAGTCTTGTATATCAGTGACGACAATGTGATATTAGTGACCACACTTAGGTATGAGTGACCACACTAGGGTATGAGAGACCCCACTAGGGTTTGCGAGACCACACTAGGGTATGAGAGACCCCACTAGGGTTTGAGAGACCACACTAGGGTATGAGAGACCACACTAGGGTATGAGTAACCACACTAGGGTATGAGTGACCACACTGATATATATCAGACGGAGGTCTGTGTGACAACGCTTTATTTGTAACAGCGCTCCGATGTATATGAAGCTACTTAGCCACATATTTGTCAAAACAATAAGAGTGATGTCAACAACATACGTGTGACAACAGGTTTATATATGTGTTGACTTGTTGATAGTGACATTACTGAAATAAGATTAACAAAGTCTGTATTTCACCTGTGTTGCTCTGTTGAGGAAACAAAGCCGGCTTTCCGGTCATCACTAGCCCTCTCTGTACCAACGCCTCGTGGTTGGCGTCGAAGCCCTTGACTACAACCAGCAGCTTATTGCCCAGGTGGAGGCGGAACACGTTTCCGTGCTGTCGGTGAAGACGCTCGAACAACGGCTGCAGGTTCTCCCGATTGAGCAGCAGCTGAATCACATTGCCAATACACGGGATGGCATACGGCCCAGGAGGCAGCCGCCGCTTGCCTTTAGATACATGAGTGTACAGCAGGCAGACGGCGAGTACAAGCAAGACAACAAGCATTACGACATCCATGTTGGCCCCGCAACTGTCGACAGTCAAGTGAACCTGCAGCAGGTCCATGTCTGTATGTACACACTGCCACGCACACAGGGGAGTCAAGTCACTGTTTGTGTGTTCTATTGAAGAGTTAATTGTGTCTAGGGTCAGCAGCTTGTTTCATCTCCTCGTGTTAATATAATCAAGGACAGGAACAATAACTCTGCAACAGTTAGCAATTACATTGTGAGCTCATGCAGGGCTTCATAAACGTGAAGTCACGTGAAAACAGCGGTGTTCCGTCACATGGCCAATCCTGGTCCCAGTGTGCACCCGACCTGTGTATAATATCCCACCCCCTCTCGTTAGAATGCAAAAGAGATGTTACCTGTAGCCAATCCATATAAAAATATAGTCTGACAAAACGCTCTCTACTTCACACGACTCTTTCTCTCTCTAACTCGAAGCTCTATCTATCTAACATGACTCTTTGTATCTAACACGACCCGCTATCTAACACAACGCTCTCCATCTAACACGACACCCTTCATCTAACACGACACCCTCCATCTAACATGAAACTCTCTATCTAACACCCTCCATCTAACACAACACCCTCCATTTAACACAACGCTCTCCATCTAACACAACACCCTCCATCTAACACAACGCTCTCCATCTAACACAACGCTCTCCATCTAACACAACGCTCTCCATCTAACACAACGCTCTCCATCTAACACAACACCCTCCATCTTAGACAACACCCTCCATCTAACACAACGCTCTCCATCTAACACATAGCTCTCCATCTAACACAACACCCTCCATCTAACACAACACCCTCCATCTAACACAACGCTCTCTATCTAACACAACACCCTTCATCTAACACAACGCTCTCCATCTTACATGACACTCTCTATCTAACACAACGCTCTCTATCTAACACAACGCTCTCCATCTTACATGACACTCTCTATCTAACACAATGCTCTCTATCTAACACAACGCTCTCCATCTTACATGATACTCTCTATCTAACACAACGCTCTCCATCTTACATGACGCTCTCTATCTAACACAACGCTCTCCATCTAACACAACACCCTCCATCTAACACAACGCTCTCCATCTTACATGACACTCTATCTAACACAACGCTCTCCATCTTACATGACACTCTATATCTAACACAACGCTCTCCATCTTACATGACACCCTCCATCTAACACAACACTCTCCATCTAACACAACACTCTCCATCTAACACAACTCCCTCCATCTAACACAACACCCTCCATCTAACACAACGCTCCAAATCTAACACAACGATCTCCATCTTACATGACACCCTCCATCTAACACAACGCGCTCTATCTAACACAACGCTCTCCATCTTACATGCCACTCTCTATCTAACACAACGCTCTCCATCTTACATGCCACTCTCTATCTAACACAACGCTCTCCACCTTACATGACCCTCTATATCTAACACAACGCTCTCCACCTTACATGACACTCTATATCTAACACAACGCACTCCATCTAACACGACACTCTCCATCTAACACGACGCTTTCAATTCTTGAGTTTGTCCACCACCAAAGTCTAAGACTTTGTCTTGGAACTTTTAGAACCTCTCCTGTTGACAGTCTCTACGTCGAGGTCGATGAGCCATCTCTTACCCAACGCCGCATAACATTATCTTTACAATATATTACAAAACTATATTCTTACGAGTCTAACCCTGCATTTAACTCCTCTTTATGGGGATTTGTGCAACAAGAAGTCCTCTCTTGTCCCACCTACCGGATTAAGAGTAAAAGCCGTACTTTCTGCTGCATATCTCCTCCCCGTATTCTTTCCTCTCCTCCTTGGCAATTCGCAAGGCCAGTGGTTGACCTAACACTGACAACATTTAAAAATCAGAAACTAATGACTTGCAATATAAGCAGTGATATAATCAATTAAAATATCAATCAAAGAGTAAATAAAATGCGTACAAATCCATATTTACAGATTGGTCCAAGGATGTCGGTTACCCAGCCACGTTGGCATTTCAGGTAACACTATGGCCGATCTTGCTGCTAACCCAGCACTCAACAAATCTGTGACACTACTTCTCATTCCATACTCCGATTACAAAGCGACCATTAGATCGTGCATCCGTGATCTGAAGAAAAACAAAGGGTGATGGTGAACATGATAAACGGCCTCCCATGAACGCCAATGAAAGGTTGTGGAAACAGTTGTGGTCAGTTGTGGCGACTGTAACCTTGAGGCACCATGGGTCCTGGTTTACGATCATACAATGCATGAGAAAATAACTAGGTCGTTTGCTTGTTACATCTCACCTCATTGCCTGAAAAGTGTTATCAAAAAAAGTCAAAATCTAATGTGGGGCGTGTTGTGCGAGCTGTCAAACGCGCCAGGCTTGTTATTCAGCGAGCATGGAGGTGCCGGGATCGAGCCCACCTGTGACCGGGTGTAAAAACCTTGGACTCAACCTCGTGTGCAGACTCTCTCAGTGTTGTCACAACCCATAGTGTACAGTACACAACCCTGCGCACTTAAAAGAACCCGCGAATCTGTTGGTAAACGAATACGTGAATACATGAATACGTGCACAAACAGCATATCTTAAAAGACATGATGGCATGGACAGCTGCTTCTACTATAGTCTTCGCCATGCCTGTGACTTTGACTCCGAGGTCCATCCATGGTGCGACCCTGAACATATCCGGGGCGTCATGGAAATGATGCTTTTACAATTCTGGAATAGGCCCATATATAGTGCCATTGGTTTGGTACCTCCTGATCTCTTGGTGGGAGCACAGCCCTTCTGACACTCTGGGTAATGCCGGAGGCATCAGTGTTGGGCAGTTTACATATTCTCCGGAAAGTTCTTGGTTGGTTCCACTAGGTACTGTTTCCTTGGAGAAGTCCCATTTTTTGTCTGGGCTGCGTGTAGAGGGGGCAGGGGTCCAAAGCTGATGATGAGCCTTACCAGCCTGACTGTGCCAGGATCACCCGAACCCTCTCTGTTGCATATTTCATCCTTTCATATATTTCATGTGTAAATAATGTAATAATAAAGAGCACACATCCATTTGTAAAGAGCACACATCCAATGTACACTCAAAGCGCTTTAGCAAAAGGAGTCTAGAGTCAGAGATAGTTGTTGAAACACTGATTTTCTGTGGCATGATGTACCCACAGTCTACTGTCCAGGCTAACCTTAACCCTAATCTGCCTTGTTATAGTTCTCAGGAAAGCAGGCATGTAAAACATGCATCTGACTGATGTAGGGCATTCCCCGGGTAATGTGGGAACCTGACCTACATGCATCTGACTGGTGTAGGGCATTCCCCGGGTAATGTGGGAACCTGACCTACATGCATCTGACTGATGTAGGGCATTCCCCGGGTAATGTGGGAACCTGACCTACATGCATCTGACTGGTGTAGGGTATTCCCCGGGTAGTGTGGAACCTGACCTACATGCATCTGACTGGTGTAGGGTATTCCCCGGGTAGTATGGGAACCTGACCTACATGCATCTGACTGGTGTAGGGCATTCCCCGGGTAGTGTGGGAACCTGACCTACATGCATCTGACTGGTGTAGGGCATTCCCCGGGTAGTGTGGGAACCTGACCTAGATGCATCTGATTGGTGTAGGGTAATCCCCGGGTAATGTGGAACCTGACCTACATGCATCTGACTGGTGTAGGGTAATCCCCGGGTAATGTGGAACCTGACCTACATGCATCTGACTGGTGTAGGGCATTCCCCGGGTAGTGTGGGAACCTGACCTACATGCATCTGACTGGTGTAGGGTATTCCCCGGGTAGTGTGGGAACCTGACCTACATGCATCTGATTGGTGTAGGGTAATCCCCGGGTAGTGTGGAACCTGACCTACATGCATCTGACTGGTGTAGGGCATTCCCCGGGTAGTGTGGGAACCTGACCTACATGCATCTGACTGGTGTAGGGCATTCCCCGGGTAATGTGGGAACCTGACCTACATGCATCTGACTGGTGTAGGGCATTCCCCGGGTAGTGTGGAACCTGACCTACATGCATCTGACTGGTGTAGGGTATTCCCCGGGTAGTGTGGGAACCTGACCTACATGCATCTGACTGGTGTAGGGCATTCCCCGGGTAGTGTGGGAACCTGACCTACATGCATCTGACTGGTGTAGGGCATTCCCCGGGTAATGTGGGAACCTGACCTACATGCATCTGACTGGTGTAGGGCATTCCCCGGGGTAATGTGGGAACCTGACCTACATGCATCTGACTGGTGTAGGGTATTCCCCGGGTAATGTGGGAACCTGACCTACATGCATCTGACTGATGTAGGGCATTCCCCGGGTAATGTGGGAACCTGACCTACATGCATCTGACTGGTGTAGGGTATTCCCGGGTAGTGTGGAACCTGACCTACATGCATCTGACTGGTGTAGGGTATTCCCGGGTAGTGTGGGAACCTGACCTACATGCATCTGACTGGTGTAGGGCATTCCCCGGTAGTGTGGGAACCTGACCTACATGCATCTGACTGGTGTAGGGCATTCCCGGTAGTGTGGGAACCTGACCTACATGCATCTGATTGGTGTAGGGTAATCCCGGTGTAATGGGAACCTGACCTACATGCATCTGACTGGTGTAGGGTAATCCCCGGGTAATGTGGAACCTGACCTACATGCATCTGACTGGTGTAGGGCATTCCCCGGGTAGTGTGGGAACCTGACCTACATGCATCTGACTGGTGTAGGGTATTCCCGGGTAGTGTGGGAACCTGACCTACATGCATCTGATTGGTGTAGGGTAATCCCCGGGTAGTGTGGAACCTGACCTACATGCATCTGACTGGTGTAGGGCATTCCCGGGTAGTGTGGGAACCTGACCTACATGCATCTGACTGGTGTAGGGCATTCCCCGGGTAATGTGGGAACCTGACCTACATGCATCTGACTGGTGTAGGGTATTCCCCGGGTAGTGTGGGAACCTGACCTACATGCATCTGACTGGTGTAGGGTATTCCCCGGGTAGTGTGGGAACCTGACCTACATG